TCCTTCTCAGATGTGTCTACGATAGATCTAAATCTTCCTTCGTTCGTCTCAGTAAGTTAAAGTCCATGATATTAGTTTAAATCTCAATGATCCACTACAAATTATTTTTACAACAACTCACCGGAAATTTCATTACGCAAACCAAATCATTTTATTTCTACGTTAACAAAGTAACGGCCAGAAATTAGTTTTCAGTCGACCATCGTTCGTTCATAATATCAGAATATACAATTTATATCAAACATTCTTTTGCAGGTATGTACATTTTTGCTACAGTACTCCCCATGATTCTCATCCTCTCTCTCAACTTCGCTCTCCTGAAATATGCCTTCAAGTCCACCAATGAAGGCACACACCGGAACTCTAAAGCCCCAGTAACCGTCCTGTGTTTGTCAGGACTGTTCCTGGTGTCATCCCTACCTTACATCGTCTACACCATCCTCACAGCTCTCCACGGTTACAGCGTTCACACCAGACTGGAGTTTCTGAGGGCTTTATCGGGTTTCATTTACTATCTTAGTCTTTTTGGAAACCCTTTTATTTACACATTGACGAACGCTCGGTTTTATAGGCACTGCAAGGACTTGGTCTTAAGCACATTGTTGGGGATGTCCTCTCGGGAGATTAGGAGAAATAGGACAATTTCAATGAGCTCCTCTACCTACAGGTGCCCTCGGACTGCTGTTAGAATGTCTGAGATAGCTAATCCTTCCACCAGTACTGACGTATCTTTTCTCAAAAGTACCTGAAACTTGAGTCTAGAGAGAGAAGTGACATATCGATCACGTGATCAGTCACTTACTGTTTAGACGTTCAACTTTGGTTATTTCCCGTGTACTCAGTGTCCCGATTTATCATCATCTTTCTATATTTAATATATTTCGTCTGTACAAAGAGATTCGGTATTTCAAAAATTGCATATTCATTATTCACAAGAAATAATAACCTAATCATCAATAAAATGTTCCTAAAATTCAATCTAAATGTCATGAAATCAATATTTTAACCGTAAAATATCATCAGTTTTTAGTATATCTTGATTTCGTTATTTCGCATCTCTAGTAAATCAGTTAGCGTCCAGGAATTCTTACGTCGTCCGGGCCTTCTTCCTCGTCTTCTACATCTGGTCTCACATGTTTCAACTCATTTCCACAAAATCCCAGACCACAAGGCCAACCAAACATCGTGTCGTCTTCCATGTCAATATTAGAATAGGAGTTCATAACGGCGTCTTGGAATTCTTCAGCTGTGTTTACACCTTTACTGATTCTTTTCGCCTTGATTAGATTGTAGATGCTATTCGATGTGTAGCTGTCAATGGTTGTATAAATGTAGCCGTTGTAGAAGGAGTGGAATGCACTGGCAATCTGTTCCCCATCAAGTGTGGCTGGGTGACCTTCTGGATCCAAAATTCCATCGTCTACGGAAAAGATGTAGTAATTTTCGCCAATGAAGAAGAGGAATTGTTGATCGAATTTGGCAACTGCATCAATTTCATCGGAGTCAGGGAGACCGGCAAACATGGTGTTTTCAATTGGTTCCCTGTTCAGATCTCCTATCTGATTTGCTTCCCAGTCCCAAGTTGTCACTGTTTCGTCAACGAAGAAGTAGGTGATCTTGTTGCCATCATCTGTTACCGCGGCATCGTAAGGGCCTTCCATGCCAGGGAATTTATCACTGATGAACATCTCGGCAAAAGTTGTCCTAGGCTGGCTAACTTTAGGGAATTTCTTACCTCCATGACCAGATTCGAGGCGGAGATAATTGTTCTCATTATAGAAAAGATAGATATACTCCTCATTTGGATCAGTGAATCCTGCGGTGAATTCTTCAATGCAATGCCCCAATTCGTTAGTATCCTGAACGGTAACAGTGTCTCCTGTGGCACACCTATAATCTTCTGTTTCTTTATCTCCTTCTTCATCTTCATCATCTTCTTGCTTCTTCTTTGCTCCTTCGTCTCCTCCTAACGCAAGACCCGCTGAAAACGAATTTGAGTTACTTCTTCGTGTAAAAATCAAATATTTTATCGTACTTATCTGGTATGATTGAAATCAATTCGATTAAAAATAAAACTTCACAAATTTCCTTTAATATTAATATTGTAGTATTACGTTTTAGCACGGTCTTAGCAATTTTTACTCCCTCCGTCAATTTGGTCAGTCATATGTACGTAATACTAACATGTGAACGCTCCCTTTCTTAAAAAGTTCCTCTGATTGCAGATTGTCGAGAGCACTTCGGTTTTTGATTCAATTGACAGATGTTTTGGAAACCTTATTTTCAGACAAACCTAATTAAATGACGAGTATTTATATGACTCTACACTCTACACTCTCAATTGTTAGATATCAGTTTTCAATGATAAATATGGTGTGGTGCAGTGTTGCAGGCCCGCCGCTTAAAATATAGGTAGGGCAACCATATTAAAGTATATTAAAGTATATCCCCGGGTCAAAATCGGAAAAAATCCTACATTTTAATATACTTTAATATACCTACAATTAGAAGATTTATATTCTTCGTTAAGATTTACATGATGAACTATATTTTTCACTCAGATTCGCAAGATAAGCCTGTTTTAGGACTAGTACATGAATTTCCATCCAGATTGGTCAAAAATTGGCTGAGCTATGAGCTTAAAAAAATATGCCCATATTTGGGCATACGCTTTTGCCCAAATTCGCTTTTGCCCAAATTCGATAAAATTTCAATATTTTTTAATGAGACTAACTCTATGTGAAAGATATAACTCAGTGTTTGTTGAATATAGTGGATACTAAGTAAAAAGACCTCCATGAACAAAATTGGGAAAATTGCACATAATATCTCGGTTCGGAATACTAGCCAAAATGACTTCATTAAAATTGAAATAACTCCATCAGTTTTCAATATTTTTTCAAGAATTTTTTGGAATCGATTAAGAATTGCATTTCAAGCTTATTTTGGGCAATAATTTTTGATGTAGGCCTCCAAGGAGATAGGGATATATTAAAGTATATTAAAGTATATTAAAGTATATTAAAGTATATCCCCTGGTCAGAATCGGGAAAAATCCTACATTTTAATATACTTTAATATGGTTGCCCCCCCCCCCCCCCCCCCCCCCCAGGTAGATAAAGAAAGTTCAACATTCAATTTTTTACACCGGGTTGGGAGCTGGATATACTTCTTAGTTTGATATATTTCATAGTGTCAGCTCTTTCAATGTGAACTTTAACCAAGTTGCAGAAAAAAAACTTACTTGGTGCAGTATAGGTTTCTCCTTCTAGTGGCGAAACCATTCCGTTCCCAATTCCATACAGATGTCTGACTGCCTTTATGTCATCCTCAAGAAGCATCTGTTCTCGGTAACCGATGTAGTAAGGTGCCATAAGTGCTCGGTTGTTGCTGCTGTGTTCGATTCCTAGGCCGTGTCCCATTTCGTGAGCAGAAACATAGAACAGACTTATCCCCGGCTTTTCGTGGGATGCGGTGTAGTTTTCGGCCTCGTCAAAGTGCATCTTACCGTTTCTTGGGTAGTACATATGTGCAAGAACACCATAAGGACCGTCAAAGTAAGCTTTCTCTTTCTTTTCTCCGTGAGCACCTGATCCAAATCGAATTTTCACACTAGCCTTCTCTTCATCGTCAACTTCTATATAGTTAATTCCAGCGTATTTTGTCCACTCAGCAAACCCTGCTTCTACTTCTTGCTTCACAGCTGCGGGAGTCATTGATTTATCGTGTCCCTCTTTGCCTGCAGCATTAGGATTGTAGTCGTTCTCGTAAAAGTATGCTACATTGTATGCACCTGTACTGGATACCTTCCATTTCTTCTTTCGCACAACATATCTTTTTTTTCGCAGTTGTGCAGTTCGAGCATTGTATCTGTCTTCAGTCAAACACTTTGGAGTGCTGCATTTAGCATCCATATTACCGCAACGATCCTCGGCCATTTTTTTAATGGTTTCTTTAGTCAGTAGTCCATCAGCGGGTTCGATTTGGTTGAAGATTTGGAATTCCCTAATAGCGTTCGTCAATGCACATGGAGGTATTGCACCATTGAAATTATTTGTTGCCTTTTTGGATAAGTTCAACACTTTCGGAATGAATCCATAATTCCAAAGATAGGTGTATACAGTCTTAGTGCTTCCCATGATCTTTGCCATAAAATTGAGGAGGTACATAGGCGCTGGTTCCTCTGGGGGTGTAAAGTTGAAGGTATCAGCGTCGTCCCAATCGAGTGGATTCGCAGCAGCACTACCCATCATCTTACTGAGCCCTGATTCTGGATCTTTTAACTTGCCTGTGATCCATCGAACGGCTATTCTGAACCAAAACTTTCCTTGGGCCTTCCTGATAAATCGATCGAGTGCACTGGTTCCTACGGGTTCCAAATTGCCTCCATCACCCGTGCAACTTCCATCATATATATCGGATTCGAATTTTCCCTGAGCTGACCCAAGACACAGCAATAGGAATGCAACAAGGTACAACGTAAAGGAAAGGTTTGACATCGGAAACTAGCCAGGAACTCTCAGCAGTGTACAAGGACTACTGAAGGGGTTACGTAATCTAATTTGAAGCAACTATAATCAAATGTCCGTGTTCAGTTCACTTGATCATATGTGAATTTCTATTGAATTTGAAGTGATTCGTGTCCGGTGTTTACTGTCTGATTGTATTTATAAGGAAAATGACGTGGACAATCTTCGTGCAAAATTTCAGTTCGATATCACAACAAATAATTGGGTTATAGCCCTCTCTATAAAACAAATATTGTTTTTCCGAAAAATACATTCTTACCAGGAAATGCTCGATTACAGAAATGAGTGTTCTAAAAAAAGTGTGGAAACGGTGCGCTAGATGGTCACCAATGTGACCAGTGGGGTAAAAATGTTCCAAAAAATGATTACGTAATATGTGAACAACCCTCAACTGTGAGGTTATTTGGGTTGGACAATTTTGGTGAATACCCCCTTAAAAAGATACACAATATATTTTTAACCTGCTAGTGCTACATAAAGAATTGATAATTGGAGAAATGATGATCATCAGTAATCTTTCAAATTAGAGCAAGATTTTAAAAATTGTCATTATTATTATAAAACTTTATTCAAATAAATAAATTGTATAAACAAATTAAAAATCTGATAAGTAACCTACTAAAACTAAAATAACTTTCTCCACTTAGGTCTGTCTTGGGCTAACAAAAATCAAATTATAAATGTCTTCTGTATTTACAAGCTTAATGTCTCTATCTGATATCTAGAGTTTTAAGAGTTTTTAATAAATTACATTAGTGTCTCCCGACAAGACCCTTCATATCCCTCATACTCTCAACTGCAAAAAATATAGAACATAACGCTGGGGAGTTGCTGGCTCTACGAAGTGGTAATCACACTATATAATGACAACACTATATAATGACAAGCACTTTATAATGACAGCTGATCTTTGTCATTATATAGTCTGCAAAACGCACTATATAATGACAACACTATATAGTGACAAGTTTATCTTATATAATCGACTTTTCGAAGTATATGAGTATGACCAATCATTTTCTAACGTGAGTACGCAACTCTCTCACTGAGTGGTCTGCTGTTACATTTCTTATACAGAGCTTCGTTTGAAATGATGGTGGGGTATGTCATTTTGACGATTTGCCTCAGGTGTTTGCGATGACAAATGTCGATTTTGTCCATATAGTTTTTGGGTACAGCCCAGGAATTACAGTTGTTAGTTGTCCAACATAACATAAAGTTAAACAACAAGGGACTCATAGATCTTCAGCCGAGTACTGAGACAGATTCGCTGACCTTGTTCCCATACTTTCTTGTAGTCCTGAAAAGCAACTTTTCCTAGGGTGCACCTTCTCTGAATGTCTTCTTTGTCGCAGAGTTTGGAGCCTAGTGATATTGAAGATCTCCAAGGTTCTCTGTTTTTGAGGAGTTCACATTTCTCGTCACGTTCGTTTTTACCAGCAATGTAGAACTGTGTGAACTCAGTTTTTGATTCGTTCACTAGTAAGTTCCATTCTTGTAGAACATCCTTACATATTTGATATTGGCAAAAGTGCTTGAAGGTTATCTTCTTCCTCATCAACAAAATCTGCATCATCAGCATACTCCCATTCAAGTGGTACCAGCTGGTCTGACATAAAAATTGTCAAAAGGAAATTTACTTGCAATGGTCCTTTTTAATCCGGACTTCCGGGGGGGTCTGAAAATCTGCAATTTTGGCGGACGTCCTAAGTTAAAGTATACGGCCCCAGTTTTGAGGAAAATAAAGAATTTGGAAAGTGCTGGAAATTTACAGGTAAATTGTTTACAGGAATTCCGTCTTCTTCAAGTTCAAAATCAAAGGACCAAGCTGTTGTACAATATGATTTTAAAATCGGAACCAAACCTACCTAACCATCAGCATAATAAGAACGTCTTAAAAAATCACACAAAATAGTTACCTAGCTTGATATATTATAGTTTATTGCTCGCTCCTCTCAGTCTAGTCTCACACAAAGCAAAAGTGAGAGGAGAAGTTTTAACCTTAACAAGAAATGCGGTCGCTTTTCTTTTGTGGATGGCCGCTCAATTTCCCGATCCGTAATGGCTTATTTTATTATGTTCTGTACAACCTGGGTCCCCAGTCATTACTGTTTTAGTTACTGTTAGTCTAACTCGACTTTTTAACTTTTAGTTTTACTCTTAGTCTTATATCCGATCGAAATTTTCTCTTAAAACCGATCTCAAATTTTAATAAGAAACCTAATTTGATCAAACTACCATGAAGTCGCCAGCTAGGGGTGCTACCCACTCACCATTTTCGTACGTCATATTTGTGTTTTTTTAAAAGGTTTCTATATCCTTTTATGATGAATGTAAATACAATTTTGAAGGTGTCAGTAATAGTGCAGAGTTTCACATAGCCATGAGTCTCTGTCTACACGTACTGCGTGACTACGGTCAGGTGCTACTGCAAGCGAGAGGGCTCTGGTTAGAGCTTAAATGCCGAGTTTACTTCTGGTGAAGTCCCCAATCAATTTCAAACAACAATTTCGCTGCGGTTAAACCACGCACGATCAATTTTCCCTACGATGTACTTGTACCATTAATTCTTTCCAGTGAAAAGTGTGACTGGAAAAAAGTGCAACATATTTACAATTGCATACTATGTTTTTAATAAATGAGTGGGATTTATTTGACCGATGTAGAACTAGAACCGCGCATCAACAATAGATGAATCCAGAAAATTGCGGAAAATAACTTTGCGAAGGAGGTACATGGCTAGCGTTGCGCGCAGCATAACAGACGTTTCCTATACTAATACAGTGGTCTATATTGCGAAGAAACAGACTTTTATAATTTGTCATCAACGTAGCGTAGTATAGCGCCGTCGGGCCACCTCATATATCCGAAACCCGATTACTTATTGATTATTCCCTACGATCTTTTTGCCTTCGGCAAGAGTAGGGGAAAAAATCAGTCAATCATTCAATCATTATTGAATATTGGTGTAAGCCTGCTACATAAAGAATTGATCATTGGACAAATGATAACCATAGGTAATCTTTAAAATCAGACAGTTCTAAATTCCCAATATTCTGAGCAAGATTTAAAAAATTCTCGAAAGGGAGGCTTTTTTTAGAAAACTGAATTATCTAGGGATTTTTCGCTTTTAAGTCTTCATTCCCAATGATTAGGAAATTAACTTGAAACGATCCTTTTCGGTTTAATGTCTACACGATTAAAAACATATTCATAAATCTATATTGAAATTTCCCAATAATATTTATTGACTCAACACATTGTACGTTAAATAATATTTCGAAGCCGTGATTACCCCTTTCGTGAGTCACGATCAGCGATTAGTTCATTATCTTTAAATATCTGATCTTAAGTCGCCGAGTTCATTTCCACAGAATCCTAAACCACAAGGCCAACCAAACATCGTGTCGTCTTCCATGTCAATATCACCATAAGAGGCCATAACAGCATCCTGGAATTCTTCGGCACTGCTAACCCCTTTAGTGATTCTTTTCGCCTTGATCAGATTGTAGATGCTATTCTCTGTGTAGCTGTCAATGGTTGTATAAATGTAGCCGTTGTAGAAGGAGTGGAATGCACTGGCAATCTGTTCCCCGTCAAGTGTGGCTGGGTGACCCTCTGGATCCAAAATTCCATCGTCTACGGAAAAGATGTAGTAATTTTCACCAATGAAGAAGAGGAATTGTTGATCGAATTTGGCAACTGCATCAATTTCATCGGAGTCAGGGAGACCGGCAAACATGGTGTTTTCAATTGGTTCCCTGTTCAGATCTCCTATCTGATTTGCTTCCCAGTCCCAAGTTGTCACTGTTTCGTCAACGAAGAAGTAGGTGATCTTGTTGCCATCATCTGTTACCGCGGCATCGTAAGGCCCTTCCATGCCAGGGAACTTATCGCTGATGAACATCTCTGCGAAAATTGTCAAAGGCTCGCTAACTTTAGGGAAGTTACCTCGATGACCAGATTCGAGGCGGAGATAATTGTTTTCATTATAGAAAAGATAGATATACTCCTCATTTGGATCAGTGAATCCTGCGGTGAAGCTCTGTACACAATGTCCCAAATCTTTAGTCTGTGCGGAAGAAACTGAGTTACCGGTTACACATTTATCATCTACAACTTCTTTTTCTTCCTCTTCATCTTCATCAGTCTTGTCCGCGTCCTTTTCTCCTACCTTTTTTCCCATACCAAGACCCTCTGAAAATATATTTAGGCTCAATCACTATTTTTCTGGTATTAATTGATTTGTATAGCTGTCAATTGTTTTGTTAATTTCTCACAATAATACCTTTTTTGTTCTATACTATGTTCTAAACTGTCTTGTTTATGGGAACCATGGCAGGGTTTATTGTCTGCAGCTCAAATGATTTGAAGTTCGGCGACCATCTTGCTTATCATCTTGGGGATATTTTGGCGTGGAAATGATGCGCAAGATTATCACTGAACTTCCTGTGAAGTCATTTGGGCTGGACAGATTTGATGTATGGCCCTTAAGTTATTCTTAGATATCATGGAATGCTAGGGTTTTGAAATGTCACTGTTATGAAATTACAACTTTATAGTACCTATTAGTCCTAAAAACGACGGAATTTTGTTTAAACTCGAGAACAGCGTGAGAACGTAATTTACTATTTACGGGATGTTTTTTTTGGGTATGAAAATATTCAGACCTCTATATTTCATTCTTATTTAGTTATTACTATATTTTCAATTTTCTATGTGATCAGCTTGTGTGTGAAGTTCAACATCGCATGAACATTCGAGTTATGAAGGAAAAATAACCAGAGGTGATTCGTGTGGTACTGTATTATCTAAGTGTTAGAGATGTGAAGTGTGACAACGCTTTTTTACAAGCTAACCTTCAGCGATGATTTTTTCTCCTTCTAGTGGTTCAACAAATCCGTTCCCAATTCCATAGAGATGTCTGATTGCCTTTATGTCATCCACTAGGAGCATCTGTTCTCGGTAACCGATGTAGTAAGGTGCCATAAGTGCTTTGTTGTTTGCGCTGTGTTCGATTCCTAGGCCGTGTCCCATTTCGTGCGCAGCAACATAGTACAGACTTATTCCCGGCTTTTCGTGTGATGCTGTGTAATTTTCAGACTCGTCAAAGTGCATCTCTCCTTTTCTGGGGTAGTACATATGTGCAAGAACACCGTAAGGACCGTCAAAGAAGGATTTCTCTTTCTTTTCTCCATGATCTCCGGATCCAAATCGGATTTTCATATTTGCTATCTTCGGATTGGAAACTTCTACAAAGTTGAGACCAGAATATTTTGTCCACTCAGCAAATCCTGCTTCTATTTCTTTCTTCACAACTGCGGGAACCATTGTTTTATCGTGTCCCTCTTTGCCTTTAGCATCTGGATTATAGTCATTCTCGTAAAAGTAACCTATATTGTATACGCCTTGTGAACCTATCTTCCATTTCTTTCGGCGCACTACATATCGCTTTCTCCTAAGCTGGTTTGGAGCACTGTATCTGTCTTCAGCTAAACACTTTGGAGTAGTGCATTTAGCATCCCCATTACCGCAACGGTCATCAGCCATTTTCTTTATGGTTTCTTTAGTCAGTCTTCCATCGGCGGGTTTGATTTGGTTGAAGGTTTGGAATTCCCTGATAGCGTTCGTTAATGCACACGGAGGAATTGAACCGTTGTAATTTTCTGTTGCTTTCTTGGATAAGTTCATCACTTTCGAGATGAATCCATAATTCCAAAGATACGTGTATACAGTCTTGGTGCTACCCATGATCTTTGCCATAAAATTGATGAGATACATGGGTGTAGGCTCTGTTGGTGGGGTCATGTTAAATTCGTCAGCGTCATCCCATTCAAGTGGATTTGCAGCAGCACTACCCATCATCTTACTGAGTCCTGATTCTGGATCTTTCAACTTGCTTTTGATCCATCGAATGGCTAGTTTGAACCAAAACTTTCCTTGGGCCTTCCTGATGAATCGATCGAGTGCACTGGTTCCTACGGGTTCCAAATTTCCTCCATCACCCGTGCAATTTCCATCGTATATATCGGATTCGAATTTATTAGCAGCTTGGATATACCCAAGGCAAAGCAAAGCCACAAGGCACAACGTAACGTTTACGTTAGCCATCACAAATGAACAGCTCACTCGACGGTCACATTGATGAGAGCGCGTCCTTGTGCCGCAGAACGGGCAGGGTAATCTAATTTCGTGCAGCAACTAACAAAGGAAATCTATGCAGGAGTATTAGATCATGAATATAAAATTCAACGATCTAGATCCTTTTGCATCAGGGTCAGGTAAAGCCTTTTTATAAAATTCAGCCGATATGAAATATTCTTAAAATTTGATTAAGGCTGATTGAAAGATGGCATAAAAATAGAATCCTGATTCCTGATCATGAAATTAGCTGATTTTACGTTGAACAGCCAGTAGGTAAATGACCACATTGTATTGAATATTGGTAGATAAATATTTTCGAATTATTAATAATTATTACTAATTATTTTTACTAATTATTAATAATTATTACTAATTATTACTAATTATTACTAATTATTACTAATTATTACTAATTATTACTAATTATTACTAATTATTACTAATTATTACTAATTATTACTAATTATTACTAATTATTACTAATTATTACTAATTCAGCTACATAAAAGTAGTCTCCTGACAGTTTCTCTAAGTATGTCGAGTTAAATAGTATTAGTTGATATGTGGTGAAAACTATTTAAGTTCAGAATCGTTTGCACATTTAATATGTTTCTTCGTATATTGATATACCGGCTAGGGGTGGGTGTTTGGAAATACCAGTGTGTAATGTGGTAGTGTCTTATTGAGGCTGTAAAATAAAGCCAAAAATGGCTTACGTTATATGCGAATGATTCTTTTGTCGGCTTGACTCCCCAGAGTAAGCTAGCGGCTTTTTACCCATTTGCTGTGATTTAGATTCCGATTACCAATGTTTTGGCAAGCCTGCCTTTGAAATCTTTACCACTTGTAGGTGAATAGTGTGGGAACTTTAGGACAAGAACAGTATTGGAACTTTGATAGAAAACGTGATACTGAAAGCTACTGATTTCTGAAACATGATAATGTACCTTATCATTATGGCAACAAGTAGTTAACAGTACCTGATGGCTGACAGTGCCTGATGGCTATTTAAATAATACTCCAATATATAACTGATATGTTAAAGAGTGAACAGTGAAGACTTATCAGTGGCTTGAAATGTAAACCTCCAATTTCGGTTGTCAAAGCTTGAAATAATTCTAACTAAGAAAATTGGTTAATTGAGCAGGTTATACCTAATTAGACTCGTTAAAGTCCTGGTCATAGTCTCCCCAAATTTTTGACCATCACGAGAAGACGACATGAATTACTTTTTAGAATAATCAGAACTTTTTATGAATTACCAATTAAGACAACTAGGACTAATTACCTGTCCAATTAGCGTAACCAGTTATCGTGGTAGCTATTTGCACTATCAGCTCTATAATAGTCCTATATCCGTAGACGTGCCACTTTATCTTTTCCTTGTGCCCCAGCTTGTATATTCTGGAGCTAACGATGCCAGCAGTAATCATATTAAAATAGTAATTCTAGGGGCACCTAGATGATTCGATTATTTTGTGCAGCTCAACTGGTTAAATTTTAATTAACATACATTCCTGTCGCCTTTCTCCCGACTGTGTTCCATCATCATTTGCCGCGTATGGGGAAATTACCTGACTGAGAGCTAGATACAACAGGTTAGTGTTATTGTTCACGATGGGTGAAAACTCAATTTTTAATTTTTATATATTTTGATCTATTGCATGCTTTTTATTTTTTTCTCCACAAGACCGTGATATGTTTAACATGGCCGGATTATAAGTTCATGGAATGTTCATAATTGGAATAATGTTTCATGCCGCAGTTAGAATAGGATATTGTTCGGCATAGTTAAAAGTATTAACTATCTATATTAGTCACTATATATGTGTAATGTGTTAATTAATAATATCTTGTTGATTCCAAGCAGACTCCTCAAGCAACACAATCAGTGAACAGACCTTGTAGTCAGTCTGGTATTTGAAGACTGCTGACAGTTCACGGTTGTAGTACTAGTATGTAGGTACATCAAATTCTCAAACTGACCTTGCACCAGACACAGCGTCAACTAAACTCTGTTCATAGTCTGGACAAATTCCTATGATTAATTATGCAAAATATGTAGATTTACATTAACTACTCCTCGCTGATAGCTGTCTTTCGCTAAATGACCGATAATATTCGATTCCAGTTGTTAGCTGGTGTGTTGGTGGTTAACTTCCTCTCTGTAAGAGTTAGCAATCATTTCTCCGGCCCGATCCACGCTTGTCTTGACACCGACTTTTCACGTCCTTTTCACAGCTTCAAATTTCCTGTTAATTCCACGCTAATTTGAACAGTTCGTAGCTACACCCTCGCACAATAAGTAATATGATACCCGTACGTGTGCACTGTGCACTGTGCACGTGTGCACGTTGTGAGTGGAGAGCTTCACCTCCCACTAACATGACCCCACTTATGTCCAGACTGTCAAGATACCAGCCTGCTGGGAGAAGAGATGGACCGGCTCCGGGAGACTGTTGACCGGGATGTCAGAGCTCCTCTTGCACGTTTGTTCTCCTCCGCCGCTAGAATCATCGGCCAGGACAGCACTAATTCGTCCTTCTCCAACGGTTACGGGCGTCTCAGGTTTGCAGTATTTTTAAATTGGAGTCAGATATTTTGTGATTTTGTTGTGCACGGAATTTGGTATTTCATCATTTTACACATTTTTGTGATGTTTCGCCGAAATTGGGCAACTATATGGAGGGAGTATTTGGTTGATGCTGGATGGATAGCTGAAGAGAATTACAGGTAATTTGCTGATAATTCTCAGGTTAGCCGGTAAAATCAAGCTGATTGGAACAGAGCATTTTTGCTGGCGGTATAATTTTAACGGGTGATACTCGTAAAATATTTGTTTCAGATATTAGAACACGTCCAACTCGACGCGCGTCTTGGTTATAAACCTACAAGTATAATTTGGTAGATAAAACTATGTATTTCAGTAACTACGATTTCGGTCAAGTGAAAGAGGAGGACGCTGGTTCCGATGCGGACGTTGATTCCGATGATGACGAATTTGCCATGAGAACAGAATACTGCTGTTACCTTCACTGGTGAGACCTTAAATATTTTGACCCTGTTTGTTTAATGTTTATAAATAACATTATTTAAAAACATATTACTGCCAGATTTTTTACCCAGCTGTTCGTTTATAAATAACATTATTTAAAAATAACGCCTTGACAGATTGTTGCGTTATTTTGTCGAGGTCAATAATCACCAAGTGAGCACTTCTCGACTCATGACTTAACTATTTGTTTTAAGATATGACCCTGTCAATTCTGCTGGAGGAGACTAGCAGTTTATAGACTAAATTCTTATGAGTCCTGTCGAGGAACCTTGATCAAAGTTCTACGACCAGCACTCTGTTGTATATCGGCATTTCGTTGAAACTTGATCCACGATTCCATTCCAAACTTAAGTTGAATCAATTTGAAAGTTATGTTTGCTGATATGAAGTAGCACTACTAATATTTTTGCATTTTGTTGATAAGATTTGAGATTATGCCTCGATATCGAACTGTGCAATCTTAAGATTCTCAAATCAATGTGAAAGTATTGGATTTAAGATCATCACCAACCAGCTGCAAGTATGTCGGCTATGCTGTATCTTTTAATTTGAACTCCCGAAATAGTTCAAAACACCATTGTTTACAAATGAATGTTTATATTTCTAGATGGAATTTTACACTTGTTGATCGATCCCGAGCCTCCTCTGTAGAAACTATTTACACTGGGAGATGGCGTAAGAAGAAAGCTGTTGACAGACACATTTACTCCAAAGAAAGATATCATAAAACACTCAAAAATTGCTCACATATTATCTACGAATTGTAAGATACTTATTTAAAATATTTACCATCGTCATAAATATGATAGAATTGTCCTGGATCGGCGATATTATTGTCCTCAGTACAGAACCTCATATAATAATCTTGCTTTTTGCCAAACGGATGTGGGCGAGCCCAGCTCAATGCTCTATTTACCAAATATGGTCATGTTATTTCAACCTGCGAGAGAACCGGTTAGGTAAATATAATAGACTTGTTTAAGAGCCTTGGAGATAGACTGTGTTGGTCACACGATTCCCGCACTATATAGTGCGATTACCGGTCACACTCAGTGACTCGCGTTATTGTGCTCTAAAGAACTCAAGATATCATGCTTAAAAGTAGTGCAATGAGTTCAAGGCAAAAGCTTATTTCAGCAGTATCAGGTTCTTAGTCCTAAAATGTGACAGGTTAACTTCTGTGAACTGAGGATCCTCATTACAAGTACTGTGCTGACTGTTGAATTATGAATATTTGAACATCGCCCTTACTAAATTTGGAACACCGTAATACAGGGCTACGCCTGAAAATGGTCATATCGTTATTTTGATACGATGATCACCTTCAAGTTAAAATTATTGGGTTTTAACAGTTGAGACTTAAAACTATGACCTTGAAGTGGATGACGAAACTACTCACGGACTGCTGTGTGGGTCTGACAGCGGTATAAGTTGTTAATTGAATGGGAGCATCTATGATTATTAAATTTAAAAGCAACGACCCGGAACAGTTTTCTCTCCACCCGCCGACGCCAGAGTTGGATAAGTAATCTGTTTATATTCATATCAATAACTGTGAAAATCATGCTTACGAAAAGGCAGGCGCCAGCCGAGAACAGCTATAAAATCAGTAACTAAATGCTTATCAAAACGTTTCTGAAAATCTGCACTACTGACCACGTTGGAATTGTAACTGCAAACATTTTACATTTATCTTGAACTTCAAGCCATGTTCCATGATTATAAGTATAACCGGTCAAAAAGTCTACTTATTATTTGCACTTCGACACCTCTGACTTTCCGTGAAATTGCCATCACGTTTTATATCCAGTCCCTCAACACTTTCAGCCCCATCATTATTATTTCTGGCGGTCGGTACTAGGAATGTTTATTTCATTGCCAAGCACCGATTAGGAAAGCAAAGTGTCCGATATTTTCTGACAGGTATTCAACAATGTTGTTCACATTTTATGTTAAGCTTGAAGAATGAAGAATGAACATGCTAATGGTTGAATCTTATTAGTGGTTGTGGTTATCTATTTACTATTTGTTCGATGGTATCCACTGTTTCTATCCTGTGTGTGCTTGACATGACTTTTGTTTCAGTTTTGAAGGCTTGTTCCCGCCGTCAGCTCAGTATTTAAAACTAGATGATAATTTTTGCAATGACCGTTGACTCCTTGTTTAGAGTAATTTTCCAGTAGTATTATAAATTCACAACTCTCAAGTCTTAGTATCTTGCTAAGATTTTCGTTCCAGATGGATACCAAGGTCTCTAATGTTAACGACAATTCAAATCAAATCATGAGGTGAGACGTTTATTAAACAAAAAGGATTTTAAACTAACGTATGTTGTTAAAAATATCTGTCCACGTCCTCCACTCTGTTAACTTGTAAAAGCGCAATTTTTCATTAATTACTAGTTTTTCTAGCAGCTTTTTGATTTTTCAAAACCCTGTACATTCTAAATCACAATTAGATCTGCACTATACGTTATCTCAATGACTAACACCAGCTTTGAGCCAAAATCACGAACACATTTACGGACAACTGACAAGTGTTTTGATAATTTAAAAAAGCCTAGACCAATGAATATCCCTGTGATTTACTTCGTAACATAAACATCATCACACCCAAAAATATGCACGACACTGAGACTCTAATATTTGTTGAACTAGTGAAACAGATGTTGTCACTACAACTGGGAGTTGACACCCAGAGGTTAAATCATGCGAGACTCTAATATATAGCAATTATATAGCTAATATATAGCAAAATTTGTGCTACTCCAAATTTGTTTGTACTTTTTGCGAATTGAGTATCAGCAATTTTTGTGCATGATAAAACATCCAAAAGCCTCACGAATTATAGCATTATAATACCACAAGTCTACAATAGTTGGCCGTTTAATAAATGAACAGATAAGGAAAGTTATCGCTTGGCCCTGTGCCAAGTACCCTTCAGTACCGCAGCGCGAAGCACGACATGAACACCGCATCCATCTAACACAGCATCCGTCCAGTGGAAACATATCAATTATATCTCCCTGAGTATATGTACGAGGTGTAACTTAATCGTGGAACTTGACAGATTCCAGTGACATACAGATACCACTATAACAGGGCGCTACCCCATCACCACTCTCTCGCATGATTACTACTGTTATGTTAATCATCGTGTTACGTGTAAGTGCACTGGAGCCTGGAGGTGCACTGTGTGTGCATTGTGCACGTGCACTGGAGCCTGGAGGTGCACTGTGTGTGCATTGTGCACGTGCACGCGAGCCTGGAGGTGCACTTTGTGTGCATTGTGCACGTGCACTGGAGCCTGGAGGTGCACTGTGTGTGCATTGTGCACGTGCACTGGAGCCTGGAGGTGCACTTTGTGTGCATTGTGCACGTGCTGTACTGGATATGTTGTGGTATTGTGGGAACTGTGTCCGTTCCGGCATGCCTGACTGAACATATTAAGCTAATTTTACCTGGCACTTTGTGAATTGTGAAGTTTGTATGCTTTATTCGTGAATATGTGATGGAAATTTGAATAAGTATTAACAGTTGTTGTTGCTCCCTGTTGGAATTCAAGTATCGATTGTTTTCCATATCATGAACTTAACCGTAGTCCCATTTCTTGTCATATAGCATCTGCATACTGTATAGTAACTCCAGATCTTTCTATATTTCTATCTTGCAAGAAAATTTAATTTTTTTAATGACTTTTTATCCATTTGTCTAAACTTGATTCTATAAAAAGTTATATCAGTTCTAAGGTTTGGCGAACTTTTGAAACCTCCTGTAGTTGATATTCTTGCTCTAAGGCTGATATTCTTGCTATAAATCTAATATATCGGTTACTATAAAGCCGATAATCTTGCTATAAGTCTAATATATCCTTGCTATAAAGCCGATAATCTTGCTATAAATCTAATATATTCTTGCTATAAAGCCGATAATCGTGCTACAGAGTTGATGTGTATAAAGTTGGAATTTATAATCATAGTCAAAGCATTCTTCGTTGTTTATCACCTTCTTCAATAGATACTCAACAGTTATTACTGTAAACATTCAGCGAAAGTTGATGACGTTTATTCAAGTATCTATAGCGATTGCACGTTTTCATTACAAGTATCTGTAGCGATTGCACGTTTTTATTACAGTGCTTAACTTACAACTTGGCTCATTGAATGACAGTTTGACATATTTGTCCCTCGTTAGAGTTAAGAATTTGCTCAATCATGCCAAAGTAAGTTGGTACTGAGTGTTACCATTTTTATCATAATTACCCGAGATAATCTCCCAGTTAGCCTTATTTATACTGCTAACTTACAAAAGTCTACTTCGTATTGTCAACGATCTGAGACGACAGTTTGCAGTTAATATTTGTTGTCTTTATTGGACACGCTCCATGGTTTTGTGGATCTGTGGTAGAGAATTAATGATAATCATACTGGTAAATACTTTAAATCTGGATACTGGGGGTTAACCACTTTTTATAGTATTAACTAATCGGCTTTTACTTTTGAACAATAAAATTCCAAAGTCACGTGTCTCAAAAATATGCTGATTTACAATCCTTTCGATTCAAACCTTTCAGACTCACTTTTCATAAAAATGTGCACTAATAACTCCATTAAAGTAGTATAGTAAATTAAGTGTCTTTGTTAGTCACATGTTAAGTATGTTTGTTAGCCACATGACCATCATATCATTCTAATTAATAATATGATATGACCATAAGTCACATATGCAAAGACAATGAACAGTTGAACAATTGGTGTGGTCAAATAAAACAAAATGGCGGCTTCTCGGTTCTCCAAGAATCTTAATTTACAAAAACGATTTATTCTTTAGTCAGGAATTACACGCATATTTTGTTCGTTATATGGAAAGATGGAAAGATAGGATACCAGGTTTCTCCTAAATCCTCATTGTACTAAACAAATCAACATATTTGAATTGTTCAACTCTGATTGGTATTTGGTAGTCATGACCGTGGTACTACATGGTACCTATAGACTTATAGAGATTTGAAAAACTGTTGAAGTTTTTACGGCTGCTATCATGTTTTTTTACGTGAATTTTAGTTTTTGAAGCAGGAAATGCAGGCACTTGAATCTTGATGGACTCCTTGCAGTTTTGTACGAGTTTTATTTTTAATGCTCATAACTTGATTCATAGATTTGTTGTCGCAATTGCAGCGATGAATTATTGTTCATCTTGCCTTGTATTTTCATGGACACTTAACACAGCCAATGAAATGTCTGAGTTTTAATTATTACAGGCGAAACCAACGGAAGCTACAGAGATTTTCTCAATTTATAAGGTTTCCTTCACACTTAGTTCCACATGATTTACATGACAGTAAATTTTTTCATATTACAATAACGAATTCCGACTAATTTTCCCAATTACCATGATAACTGGTAGTATTAAATATAAATTCCCATTTTTTTGACATCTTTGCTACTAATATACAGTTTATCTTCGTGTGTACTGCAGTCTGTAGAGTTATATTTAGCTCATCGCTCATACACACATCTTCCTCCGATAATTCGATTTTATAGGTCATCTTTCAACCACACACACAGACACACACGATCTCACATAATATACTGCTCCTTGATAATATCAACACATCACAACTCACTGAGAGCCGCCAGCAGGCAACAACATGTCCAGTAATCGCCTGAACAAGAAGCGACCAATCCGGAAGGTGAGGAGCGTGCCTATACGTCAGCTGAGCAACACCTCCAGTGAGGGCAAAAATAATAGTGAGCTGAAGAATAACAAGATGGTGGACACGCAGAAAACTCTGACTAGGATCTTGTTCGATGATGCTGATAAGAGGGCTCTGGATCTGATAGAGAAGAGGAGTAGGCTTTCTAAAAACAGAGTCAGAAGGTGATTACCTAGTGATAACCTCTGATTACCTAGTGATTACCTCTGATTACCTAGTGATTACCTCTGATTACCTAGTGATTACTTCTGATTACCTAGTGCTTAGCCATCTGTTAATCCGAGTTAATTTCCCTGATCAACTATCAAGTCTCTGTTAGATATCATAGTTTGATCATTGTTCGAATACTACAGTGATAGATAGCATACCGAATTTAAAAGCGGAAATGAACATATCAATCCTATGTAATTGCTATGTGACTGTTTCGAATCAATTATGTACTAGCTAATAATCTTAACTCTCTCCTAAAGTAAGTCTCATACATAAGCTAATCATTTCGAGTACAGATTCCTCTTAATTTGTGCTTAAATTGCGCTGACATCACAAGATGGTCGCATTGGCCACAAAATTAACCACATCTTGCGCTAACATTTGAAAGTAAGAGGAGCACATTGGAAACAGTAAGAGCTGACTTTTTTTCTTGCGCTGTCTTCATGTCTTGTTTATCACCGAAGTGAGTTACAAACGTCATAAGTGAGTGCGATATAAGCATGTTGGTGTGACCATGAAAACGTCAGCATCATTAGGCATTTACAGACGGTTATGCCAATATTTTATTTATAATTATTAGAGCTAGGCTTGTCCGTTTTGCTTGATTAAACTTGTCTCATAATAACAGAGGTTTGCATTGAAGATGATTGATGATTAGATACCGTGCCCAATCGATCAGTCATTTAATAGCCAATTCTAATTAGGCAATTATGAATCACTGTTTTTGAAAATCTCAGCACTGAGAAGAGCGGAAAATACTTAAAATAGATGAAAATGTCTTTTCCGTAATATCCGGCGAACAAGATCATTTTATGTTTATCACAGTTTGAAGTAATCTCATTGCTAGTATCAGTTAGAACTAACACGTGACCTTTTCCAGTGGAGATTACGAGGACTTCAAAGAAAACAGTACTCTGAAACTCCTCTCTAGCTTGGAGGTGATTGGATCTCGGTAAGTTCCTTAGAATAGGCACTATATCACCATTGTAGTTGACTCGGGGTATGAACTTAAATTTCATAAGTGAAAATGTGTTAAAATATTGTAATGTGTGTTGATAGATTTCCATGGTTTAAGGAAGTAGTTGAATGTGTGTAAAGTCGGTTCTGTCTGTCAATGCATCCTATTTAAGCCTTAAAATTTCAACGGTATTTAAGAATTTATTCGCAGTATATCTCAATAATTTGGCTGTCAACCTCCTTGTACCTTTAGCTTAGATTATCTCCTACTTGTAGATTTTTGTGGAACTCTTTATTTTACTTACTCATTTATCTCTAGATGTGCAGGTGTGTTTGATGATGATCTTATCTAGACTTATCTAGATCTTATCTAGACTTTTACTTAATGAATCCGGCGATCGCCATAAGAATTAGCCTCAATTCTCAATCTATAATTATGATTTTTAACAGAAAGTCACTAAAACTACACTCACCCCATCAGGCATGCGAGGAGGCTGTCTCAAGGGATCAGGCGACAGTCCCTTGTATCCGCTCAGCAGCCCTCACGCTCTTCCATACACCGCAAGAAGTCGCTAGGTTCACGGACCGGATCCCTTATCGGTGAGTTTATTAATAACCAGTAAAATGAAAATAATAAATACATATCAGATGCAGCATTTAATAATCTACCGTCTCTGATTAAGCGTCCAGCATGTTCAGAGAGAACAATATAGGTGTTTTAATATTGAATGGTCGTGGTCTAAAATATTCGAATTTTCAAATTTTGGCGACGGAATTCTCGAACAAGTAGGTACAGTATGCCATCTGCAAAGCAACAACTCTCAAATATAAAACACGGCGGAGGTATAAGACCCAACGTTTGCACGCTGACTTTTGCCCCCCACCCCCCCCCCCCCCCCCCCTGTATAATATAAAGATAAACTTAGTCTGCTCTATCGTTATGGAAGCATTATATTATTAAAAACAATCCCATTGCATTTGTTAAACTTATATATAATTATAACCTAAGTTATGTGCTCGCCGGTTACTATTTATAGAAAAATATTATGAATATTATAGTTTATAAAGTTATGAGTATTAGACGGGTACAGGTGTACGTATTGTGCCAAATAATTACATTTACATATGAACAATGACATCAAGTATCATCTATTAATTGCTCATTGTTTACTGTCTCCGTAATTCGTTAGCCGATGACCTGCCGAAGGCATTTTAATAAACTTCCGTACTTCGTAGTATCTAGTAGTCGCATTCATTAAAAGTCGCATTCCAACCCCACAACTTTAGTAAAATTTTACGGATTCCATAAGTTTTCAAGTCATTGCATACCTGCCACCTGATCCTGACTGTGGATAACCTTTTCTTCAAGTTTCTTCCTCATCTTCCTTCGTTCTTCTCCACCTCTCACTGGTTAAATGTAAACAGGATAGTATCAGTATGTTAGCAACAAATTGCCCTTTACATAAAGTATTCGTTCCAATTTTAGTGTCTGGTATCTTCAAGGGGTTCCTTATTTCACACATTGTTGTGGGCAATTTGTAGTTCTTCTTTCTAATGTTCATAAAGTCCAGTTGACAGGATATTTAATGAATTGGTCTCATCTAGATTTTCTCCTCCGTTTGCCACCTTTTCCGCCAGTATATTTCGTGTAACGTACATATCACATCGGCTTCATTTCTCTTGACACTTACGCACTGAAAAACACTTTGAGACCGAACAGGAAATTTTTTGAAATGCTGTCATATTCCGGCCGACAACAACCAAAGCCATGAGGTGATATCTAGCTGTTGACAAGGTGGGCTAGCTTGAACGGGTCTGATACGAACGAAAATGAGGCCAGTTAGCCTTTTATAGCTGTCTATTTTTAAGAGTGTCGTTCCGTCCTATCCAGCTTTTAGTGCCTGCTATCAACAAATTAGATGGAATCGGTGTGCCTTTTTTCTATCCATATTACTTCTTATTTTTATCGAATTTTTTGACTATTATCCTCTGTGGAGATAATTTGATTTTAATGGCGCTAATTTTCTGATCGCCATGATATGACATGGACTGTTCCAGAGAACTCCTAGGCGAAAATTTTCTTCGTATAGATTTAATTAATTTCATGGAATTTGTCAAGCTGATCAAAAAAACAGTGGTTAGTGTTGTACAGTTAAAAATAAGAAACTGAATGCTAAAAATAACCACCTTAGCCTGTCCCATTTAGGCTGCAATATATTTTGTACGTTTCGCTGTGATCTCTTAAACGTAGTCAATAAACTATACTATATACTATAAACTATGCTTATTTTTCAACTTGATATTTTTTATCCCTGGTAATTATAACCCTACAATTCAGACAACGTGCTATACTATGTACTAAAGGCAGGAAGCTACCTAATAGCCCCTCATTTTGGTAGCCCTAGCTTTGCCAATATCGTCCTTAGTTGAATTAGCTGAACTGACAGTAATTTGCATAGGCCCGACAGTAATTTCAGACATCAAATTTGCTTAATGTTTGGACTTTGGCGGTTGTCAATTTTATCATCATGAAGCCGTCATAACTTACCTGTGATCACTGCTCGCACGTTATCTGAATTATAACCGTAACAGAGATGCAACTTTTAAAGTGTCTATACCTTAATATGTTTCGAAAAAAATTATTTTGGTTTTATTTTTGTGCTTCTTACAGTCTTACAAAGAATCTATTATATTTTCACTCTTGGTTTGATCTTGGGTAAACCACTAAACTTCATCACGATATGACATAATATCTCTAGCTTCTCCGTAATAGTAGAGATCTGTCATGGGAGCAAACGAAGATGAGATGGCTCGGAACATTGCCTTAGCCAGAGAACTTTACTACAGTGGAAAATTAGGTCCCATGGGACCTCCAGAAAGACGAAGAGGCCCTCCTCAAACACTACAGAGTAAAACGAGGAAGATCAGGAGACGCTCCTCCACGGGGAGTATCTCCGTGAACCCCAACATGCCCATCAACATCTGGAGTGTGGAGATTTTAAAGAGGGAGTGTAACATGGAACTGGTAGTTCCACTTCCCAGGAGGCGGAGTGATATCTCAACTGCTGGTAACAGGGTGGATCACTCCAGTAGACGGGCAGAGCTGAAGCAGGCTTCTAGGTCATCTTTTGGGAGCACCAAGCTCTCTTTTGGAAGTGAGTTAATGTCTGTTGTACTTAACGTCTGATTGGTATGTCTGAGATCAGCGTATCTGACGGCCTGACTTTTATAAATTAATTTTTGTGTTCTAATGAGTTGTATCGTGGCATTTTGTATCGGTCTGTACTTGAGGGAGTGAGAGATTGCTGAAGTTCATGTCAAAACCTCGTGCTAACTCTACGTCACCCGAGCGTTTAGGTTTGCTTATTAACTTTGTCTTAAGTGGACTTTGTACCTTAACCGTGCGTCAATCGTGCCTTTAATGATGCTAGTAATCAATAGATACCTTTGGATGTGTGCCAACAGTGCGTCAATGTGCGTCAACTGTCATTCACTAGATTACCAAGTTGCCACCTGGCTAGAAGTAGACAGTGTCTGGCTTGCTACTCAGATAGTTGAGTGTTAACTACACTGTTGTTGTAACCAACACGGATCTCAGACGAGGTTTAGCCACTAACACTGACGTACTGACTAAAATTGTGAACAAAAGCTGTCATCGAGCTGATCATTCTGTGATCACGTGGTAATCTTCACGTGATTGACACCTACTTAGTAGGCAGTGGGTTGTTGTAATCAGTAATGAAAACAATCATTGATGGCGTGTTGACCGGCTACTAGTACAATACATTATGATCTTTGAATACCATAACGCTAGCTAAAATATGAAGTTGTTAGCTAAAATTAACATCGAACTGTGTGCAAAGTACACTGCATGTGCTACGCTTTCAAAAGAAAGTTTATTGACGCTCTAACTTGGAAATATGTTCGATAAGGAAGATGACCATCAATAAGATAATTGTTGCAACAATTGGAATTATCTCACTTTATACTTACCAAATTTTCCCGAACATGGCCGTAATTATTCCAATTTGGCAACCTAATTGTGTAAATGAATTACAAAATTTGATATAATTATGATACGTTATGTGATAAAAACAAATAAATTCTATCATCTGTGAAAAATAAATTTGGAAGAGCATGGTAATACTGCGATATAATTAACCCCGAATCACTTAATTAATATTATAGTGTATCATATGCTTAATTATAGTGTATCATATGCCTAATAAAGAATTATTTCTTGTTCATTTAGTTTTCATCTGTGACAACACCCTTTTTTCATTGTGACTTCTTTGATTTGTTGCCCGCATATCTTAGAGTACCTTTACTGGAACGAAACCCGCAGCCTTATTACAAACTTGTGCCTTATTACAAAATGTAGCTTTCCTGCTACTTTTCGTTTAAAGCTAAACTTTTTCCCTGTAAACTTTGAGAATGACAACACAGTAACACTCGCAACTTACACCCGTCACCACGCATACGTTTCCTTTGGTAGACTTAGCGAATTAGCTGACGGAGAACTGTGAGAAACTTCTAGTTTCCTTCCAGCGACGTACTGAGATCTGATTATCTAGGATCCTCTGTACTTGCTCTACTCCTCTCATCACCATGTGTCTTCTAGCCTGCTACGAGGCGGAGGAGAGCACAGAACTTCCCAAAACTGTGAACGAAGTGTTTGTCCGAATTATAGGTGAACATTAGGGAACTTATCAATCTTATCAATCTTACCAATCTTAGATACTAGATAGCATGTTATAGGTCGGTTAATGTTAGAAATCTAGACTTGCGATCTGCTCCTTTAGGGTGTCCGGCCTATAGAGTCTCCTTCTTTTTGCAAGAAAGTAACTCCTGCTGCTTACGTGTTCAAATACACGCATTACTTCCCTTTATAATTGGCGGCCGGTACTTGATAATAACCGAGTTTGCGCTGGCGCTCACTGACTCTGTATACAAACTCAAAGATTTCCGAATAAAACTGGCTATGATGAAATTACAAGATCTGTAGTAGGGGCCAGGTTTAGGTCTGGAATGAAAACTTTTACAACTTTGGGGGTCAGAATCCAAGATGAGAAGACTATAGTATAGATCTCTCCAAGTTTTGTTTCCTTTGTAAACCCAAAACATCGGCACTATGTCTTTTGACCCAATATGTCTACACAAATCAGGTACTAATTTCCGATATGACATTTAAAACATAATAGAAAATTAAAATTTTTTTTCGGGGTGGGGTGCAGCAAACCTTCCAGTTCCAGCATAACATCATTTCTTTTCTTGCTGAGTTAATTTATTTAATTATAATATTGTTAAGTTGTTTCATTTTACCGATAGTTGTGTTTTATCGTAAACACTGCGTTGACAAATAGCGGTTTTTGGGCACATGGAGAGTTTTGAGAAAAGTCCAAGAAGGAAATCGATCCATAATCCATTTCAATTTGTCTCTCTTCAACTTACCTTGGGTAGGCAAATATTAAGTTCACCCTAACTTGAGTATTTGTGATGTAGTATAAAATATATCTATTTGCTAAAAACGGGTGTGACAATAGATGAAATTTGGCAGCCAGCTACAAGGAACTACAAAATATGGTTAAGAGTCCATCTTGAAGTGTGATCAGCACAGAAAGGCAGGGGTTTCAGTCCTGAAAAGACAACTGCACTCCCCCAATTCTGGTTGAATTGTGGTTAAAACAGTCCAGGTAGTCAGTACACAATAAAACAGCAGATTACGCGAGTGTGACGGGTGGTATGAGGGCTATACCACCCTGTATGCCACCTGTATACTGCTCTAATAGTGCTGCTCTGAGCCAATGCTGTACTGTTTTCCCTAACCTTGGTTCATTCAATTAAATTTGGCACGGTATCAGTTCAGTAAAACTCTAATATTAATTGAGATTTTATTAATTTTTATTGCCTTCGCTTGACGGGAGTGACGCACGAATCAGTGTTTAAGTTATTATCCTCAATCAGCCGAGCGATGTCAAATTCTACTTGAGATTTGAGACTCAGTCAAATTCTTAGAACGGATGATAGTGCCGTTGTACTTCAATTAACTGCCATTATAGTGCAATTTACTGTTTGCTATTTGCTATTTGTCACTCGTGTTCCTAGAATTTCTACGTGTCCAGTCATGGGCTAAAGTAATTCAGCTGGCATTGAGCACCAGATAGCTGTTTCAGAGCCGCTTAGTACTGGCCAGAAACAGCTTTATAAACAGCTCTATAAGCACCGCTTTATAAGACTTGCTATCAGTTCTATCTTGAGCCTCCGTATAGAAGTCCACTTATAATTGATGTGCTTGCGAGCTTGTTTTGAGACTGATGGGGAGTTTCCCGAGAACCCTAAATCTATTTTCTCTGAGGTGTTCGTCCGGATATTGGGTGAATATTTCATTCTATTCTTGGTTATATTTCTCTGTGTCCTACTCAATTACAGGTCTCTGGCTTGTTGCCAGTTTTTGGACGAAATTTAAGAATATAAATCTTAAAGATTATAATACTCAGAGTAAAGATCTGCCGATCTGGGACCGGTAACTTTCTCTGCAGGATACTCCTTCATAAAGTTATTACTTTCTTACACCGCTTATAATTCTGTGAAATTAGATTACCGAGCTGCTTCAATGCCCTGCATGCTCTTCCTCCGAATTCATTTACAGACATGATATAATTCGCATAACAAACTCAATAGAGGATAATTTGATGCATGGCTGCGTGGGTAGCACAGAATCTAATTGTTTCCGCAAATCTGAATCTTACGAAAGAATAACCCTAACCAGAGAGAGAGAGAGAGAGAGAGAGAGAGAGAGAGAGTCAGCGTGCATCAAGTTGTTATATTAATTAGATTACAATCATGGTTTTAGGATATGTGTTGTGTATGTGGCATCTTGAAATTAATAAATTGCGCTATTTCCACGACATCTGAAGGTAGAGTTATCAAAGGTAATGAGCGGTCAGCTATGTTGACCGCCTGGTCAATAGTATCTTTAGATGAAATAAGAAATTTTACTTTGTTCAACATCAAGAGTGCTTATCAAAGAAATATAACCTGGATCAATGGCTTAGATCGAGCACTTTTCATACATATTACATATAATGCCTTCCTTAAGAGTGTAGAGCAAAAATTCCAATTAGAATAGCAAAATATATATTAACATCAGTAATGAGATGATAGCCAAGCGTTTTCTAATAATGAATTCCGGAAGCTTCTAATAATAGGACTCATATGTTAGTCTGTAGATTCTTTCGCCTGTAATTGTTTTTTTTTGCTCAAAACTCGTAAGATAATACTGCCTGATGGCTCCATCTCGAGCTGCTCCTCCCTTTAAATCCATCTCGTTCACTGATCGGTCCAAGGAGAACATTAGAAGGAAAAGTAGTAAACGGCAGGTAGTTTACAATTTGATCGGACGAACTTGGACCTCTTTCCCACTGCCAGGCTCAGGTCAACGAATACCTGTTGAGTGTGTGTTGAAGTTTAGGGTGGCTGTTTTAAAGCTTATCCGACTCTCAACAGCTATTAAACTCCTTGGGAAATCCTGCTGTTCCGTCAAATCCCTCCTGGTTATAGTTACTCAAGTATAACGCGCTTGTTCAGAAACGTAGGAATTAAGTTAAAATAAACAGGAGATATTATATTATACCGGTAAGTTGATGGTGTTAGTCTCAGGCGACTAACCTGTAATTTGTATATCTCCTGTAACTAAATATAGAACTGTTTCAGGAACTATCCTAGAGATCCCCTCCTCTGAGAAGAGTGTTGATAGTCTCCTGACAGACCTCAACCCCTTCGGAAGGTTCCATAAGATCGTCCTTCTCCTTCTCTTCTGTGGGGCGGCACCAATTGTTGGCTTCCAGGTACACATATCTATCCACCCAAGCAACTTCTTGATGAACGTGGATTTCTGTCGAAAAGTCAAACGTAATTCCAGTTTTGCCAGTCAGTAATACCAATATTAATTACAGCAGTAAGTACCTATGAGATTGAACTGAAACAATTTAGTAATTTAGTAAGTGGAAGTACTAGTTTAATAAAAACCATCCCTCTCCTCTCAGAACTTCGTGCTAGAAGCCCAGTCCATCATCCCCCAATGGTCCTGTATCTCCCCTGCCTGCTTTAACCTAACAAGATCCTACACCTACACCCACTACAACCCGGACACTAGTCAGATACTGTGCAGTCTGGGGAGGAGCGAGTGGGAGTGGGATAGTATCCTCTACAACGCTGTGTCTCAGTGGGATATCGCCTGTTCTAGTGTTAGTGGCCTTGTTTATACCATTCATCTGTGTACGTGTTATTTGGCCTTATTAATCTTTTGAAGAACACATGAACGCTATATTTTCAGATTATTCCACCTTGCCATAGAGTCAAAGTATTAAACCTATAACCCAAATTGTGTTGCAATCACAGTAGCCATCTTAATCATTAAATCATTGGTGTCCTGTAATTATCACGTTAGGAAATGTGTCTACTACTCAACCCTCTCCCAACGGTCCCATTATTCACAAAGGTAATCGAGTTAGTTCGACCTTTCCTTTGTTGCAGCGCTGCGACTTAGAGGCGGTGTTTGTGACAGAGTGGGAAAGGATTGATTTGTTATTATCGACCAGGCAGACGAATGAGTTACTTACTAAAAATACATCGATTAGACACAGTTTTAGTCTAGAGAGGGATGTTAGTAAGAGATGCTGGTGTGAAACTTGGTGGGCTGGCCTTGTGATTGCTTAATTTGTGGTTTTTATGGATAACCTGGGCGCCATTTATTCGAATCAGCTAGTTGTCAATTCAAACCGGGTTATATATTCTACCTATTATTGTTGAGAACGAATAGTGCAGGGACAGTTACTTCTTCTACAGTCAGTTCTGCATAGTAAATGCACATTACCAGCGAAGAAAGAGACATTTTGCATTCAGCCTAGGCCCAAGTCCCTGGAGACTCTTCTTGGACCCAACAATAAGCGCTAGATTGGAATTGGCCCGGTAGCTAGACATCCCAACTTTGGCATCTAGCCAAATTGGCCAAGCCCAAATTTTACTTAAAACTATTTTTGGCCTGGTCAGTGGTGCTACACCCGAGTTAGCTTCTTTTGTTGGCAGTATTATAATGCTAAACTCTGGATAAGTACAACAAACACATTTTTATGTGTCATAAAGAAACATATTATTATGGCTTACATATTTATGAATTTTTATTTTTATGTTACTTCTTTAATAAGTGATGTGCTTATTTGGCTTCGTTTAAGCCCATTCCAAAGTCTCTACGACCTATAGAGGTTGAGGGACAGTTTTACCCAAAACTGAAATGTGTATACGTGCCCACTTTGGCACGATGCCAAAGGTGCAGTTGCAAGATCTGATTACGTGCAGGTTAACTTGCACAACTCTCCAGACTAAAATGCAATAATCGAGTTCCCGGTTAGGCCTCGTCCCTTAACAAAACATTTAGGGTAACTGTTAACCTGATTACTCTCCTACAGGGCAAACTAATACTGGAGACGGTGTTCCACGTTCCTGGAGGCATACTGGGAGCTCTGATAGTATCTAGGATAGCTGATAGGATGGGGCGGAGATTATCATTCCTCGTGTCGCTAATCAGTTGTCTCACTGTGGGAACCATGATTTCGTCCTGTAAGTTGCATTGATATATATATATATATATATATTATTAATATATATTATGATTTAAACATATTATTGTTACGAGAATTTTGTATAATGTTAGTGCCGAAAGTTGTAAAGGCGACTCAAACATTATATTTATTCGGAAATTACACGACACTAGTTCCATGATCCGTCTAATGTTTGTACTGTAACTCCGTTGTGTTTTGCAGAAATAATGCTATAAATAAATTTACTAAGATTTACTCCTCGGGACCCGTTCACTAATGACCGTACTCCGCAAACATTCCTGCAGATCTTTCTGCAAACATTATATTGTAATCTCATATATTGTAAATCTCATCACAATGTTATGAAGGGAAACTTGGAGGTTTCGTCATTCATGCTGCCCCAATTACTTACAAATTAAAACTAACCCGGAAAATAAAGCTCAGACGACATTAGCATTTTAAATTTTCACAGGAAACGATAATATGTAACCCTCTTAAAATTACCGGAAAATAATACGATTTAGGGCCTCGAGTCAGAGAAGCCTAATAAAACAGTAATTTTAATCCAAATGCCCGATCCTCATGACTCAGCCCAAAAATTTATAGCATCAATTCAAACCCCCCCCCCCCCCCCCCTCCAATTATAATCAATTGACCACGTTCCTCATTTCAGCCCAGTTTTTCGAGGCGTATGTGACATTTCGTCTGATTCTGGGAACCTCGCTTGTCTGTATTCACCTGATCAACTATATCTGGACTTTGGAGCTTTTCAGCAATTTCAGCAGACCCTTTGCTAACGCCGCTTACGATTTCGCCAGGTACGAAAATGCCGAGAAAATCTTTCAATAATGCGCAGCCATGTTTACATCTTTTAAATTCGACGTACAAAATTAGGTTATCCCTAAACCGCTAATTTAAAAGCTACAAGTAATCAAACAAGGTGAGTTGATTCGTGTACATCCACTCAAATTAAATATTTAATAATTAACACTTAAAATTATAAAATTAACAACAGCTGTCAGCTGACTTGTAACTGGGATAACCTACAGGCTGAGTCTAGTGCCGCTGTTAGCGCTGCTCAACAGTTACGTGAGATCCTGGAACTACCTTCATCTAGCCTCTGTTATAACCCTACTTAGTGGTATACTCGTCTTCTTCGCTATCCCTGAATCTCCTAGATGGTAAGAGGAATGCTCAGCTCATTTTAAGCTACATTATAGTTCTTTGATTATAATTGCACCAATGACTCTCTAGCCTCAATATTTCATAAATATCAATTTGGTCACCAGTAATTCCTTATCTGACATCTTTGAATTGCAGGCTGTTATCCAAGGGTAATGTGGAGGGAGCTGAGAATGTGTTAAAAGCGATAGCAAGAAGGAATGATGAACAGTATCCTCTGAGAGTGGTTCTCAAATACCATCCTACTGATAAGGTTCGTATTCAGTTGCCACTAAATTACATCAAGTTACCACCTAGTTACCACCAAGTTACCACTAAGTTACCACTAAGTTATCACCAAGTTACCACCAAGTTACCACTAAGTTACCACCAAGTTACCACCAAGTTACCACTACAGCTGCCACTAAAGCTTGCAGTTAGCTGAGGAAACCCAGCCTGAGCTTTCAAAGTTTATTTTATTCTAAAGTTGTGTTCTACCGATATTCCGTATTATATTCCACATTTGGAAAGGATATAACTATTCATGTTTATTGATTAGTCATATTAAAAATGGCGTCGAATTTATTCTGATTATGCAGAAGATTGGAAATCACGTCCCTAAACAGATAATATAATTCCAGACTATTTACAGACTAATAATTTCAGACTAATTTGCGGAAGAACGCTAAGTGTCAGAGTCTCACATACGCAGTACTAGTAGTGTTATGGTCCGCTGTACATCTCGCTTACATGTGCATCAAACACAACGTCATTCACTTTAGCGATGATATAAATATCTGGTAAGTTAAACACAGGTAGATGTTTTAATGAAATGTAGTGTTGGTAGAACTAGAAGACTTAAGGGCAAGTTTCCATAAACGATATTTTATGATCGGCGCCGATAATCGCTTATTAAGCGCTTTTTCGGCGCTTTTTTTTTTAAAAACCGTTTACAATCGCTTTTTTTACGATTATAAACGGTTCAAAAAAAATCGCTTATAATCGACTATAATTGGTGTCATAATTCAAAAAAGCGCTTTTTTGAATTTAAAAGCGCTTATAAGCGCTTATAAGCGCTTACTAGCGTCGCTGAGCGATTTGAAAGCGGTTTTCCAGTAGGATTGGCGCCAAAAACGGGTGGATAAGCGGTTGGCCGGATAAGCGATTCGTAGGCGCTTTTTTGAACCATTTATAAGCGATTATTAGCGCTTATAATCGGGGTGCAATTTAGCTGTTTGTAAAGCGCAAATAAAGCGCTTATAAGCGCTTTTAATATTGAGTCAGGAAAACGCTATATTACATCTTATAACCGCTTATAATCGATTATAAGCGTTTTTTTAGAAATCGCTTATTACGGCTAATTCATCGCTATTTCACCGCTTTTACCGCTTTTCCTATCATCCATGGCCAGGTGAGCAGGAATTAAAAAGCGCTTATAAGCGCTTTTTCGATGCTGCCCCTAGCCTGGTCGGAACGGGGTAGTGCCCGGAATTTAAAAGCGCTTATAAGCGATTTCTCAATTCCCCTTAACCTGGTTGGAACTTTCATGTGCTTTTCTGAGCAACCTGGGGTGCACCGGCAGAGTCAGGATTTAAAAGCGCTTATAGGCGCTTATGATCGCTTTTCTACCGCTTTTTCTATCACCCATGGCCTAGTTGGCAAGAATTATAAAGCGCTTATAAGCGTGTTTTCAATGCTGCCCCTAACCTGTTCGGAACAGGGGTGTGCCCGGAATTAAAAAGCGCTTATAAGCGCTTTTTAAATGCTGCCACTAACCTGGTCGGAACGGGGGAGTGCCCGGAATTAAAAAGCGCTTCTAAGCGATTTCTCAATTCCCCTTAACCTGGTCGGAACTTGCATGTGCTTTTCTGAGCAACCTGGGGTGCACCGGCAGAGTCAGGATTTAAAAGCGCTTATAGGCGCTTATGATCGCTTTTCTACCGCCTTTTCTATCACCCATGGCCTGGTTGGCAAGAATTATAAAGCGCTTATAAGCGTTTTTTCAATGCTGCCCCTAACCTGTTCGGAACAGGGGTGTGCCCGGAATTAAAAAGCGCTTATAAGCGCTTTTTCAATGCTGCCACTAACCTGGTCGGAACGGGGGAGTGCCCGGAATTAAAAAGCTCTCATCAGCGCTTTTTTAATGCTGCGCTTATAAGCGATTTCTCAATTCCCCTTAACCTGGTCAGAACTGGAAATCAGTGTGCCCACTTATAGTTATAAGTGCTTTTCTGAGCAACCTGGGGTGCACTGGCAGAGTCAGGATTTAAAAGCGCTTATGATCGCTTTTCTACCGCTTTTCCTATCACCCATGGCCTGGTTGGCAAGAATTAGAAAGCGCTTATAAGCGCTTTTTCAATGCTGCCACTAACCTGGTCGGAACGGGGGAGTGCCTGGAATTAAAAAGCGCTCATAAGCGCTTTTTAAATGCTGCCCCTAACCTGGTCGGAACTGGAAATCAGAGTGCCCGCTTATAAGTGCTTTTCTGAGCAACCTGGGGTGCACTGGCAGAGTCAGGATTTAAAAGCGCTTATGATCGCTTTTCTACCGCTTTTCCTATCACCCATGGCCTGGTTGGCAAGAATTAGAAAGCGCTTATAAGCGCTTTTTCAATGCTGCCATTAACGTAACCTGGTCGGAACGGGGGAGTGCCCGGAATTAAAAAGCGCTCATTAGCGCTTTTTTAATGCTGCGCTTATAAGCGATTTCTCAATTCCCCTTAACCTGGTCAGAACTGGAAATCAGTGTGCCCGCTTATAGTTATAAGTGCTTTTCTGTGCAACCTGGGGTCACCGGCAGAATCAGGATTTAAAAGCGCTTATAGGCGCTTATGATCGCTTTTCTACCGCTTCTACTAAATCGCTCGCCCAAATTTTAAGGAAATTCTTGTGAAAAGGCCCTTTGCATTGGGGCATGAAAGTGATCGCTATTGGTGTATTTTTGGACGCTGATTCCGAATCACCCCCCATGACGTAGGGTTAAAATGCTTCCCTGGAGAGTTATGGGCAAAAAACCGTTTTGGTCACGTGACAGGCTAGTAAAATACGAATTCGATTGTTTAGGGCCCGGGTTAGGGTTAGGCTTGTGGAAAGGGTTATGGTTAACTTCGGGGTTATGGTTAGGGTTAGGGTTGGGATTAGGATTTATGTAAAACCGTTTTGTACGGCTGCAAAACCATAAAAACCAAAGTCACGTGAAATTTTTGGGCGAGCGAATTAGTAAAAGCCGAGTTGGACTCCAATATATGGAACAAATATTTTACGAGTGTCACCCGTCAATTCTCGCAATCACATTCAACATTGCGCTTCGCTAGTTTGGTAAAAATTCACCACTAGACTAGGCCTCGCCAAGCTGTGAATTGAAAGATTGACATCGCATTGTGAGTCAATATTTTATTTTGTCTCACGTTAGTTCATGCTGTAAAATGGGCATATCAGCTTGTTTACCGATTCTTGTAGCGCGATGCACTACTGGGTCGCGCGCGCGCATCCAATAATGCAGATCGGCGAGATGCGAAGGATTGACATCGTGAATCAATACCGATTCACGATTACCGCGCAATTGTTTAATTTACTTATGACTATGTCACGACGCGACCTGAATGATACAAATAGACCCAATACCCATGGTTAACAGGTGATACTCTTAATTGACGGATGTTACTCGTCTAAAGTAGCGCGCGCCGCTTTCTTCTCGAAATGCCACGATGGCACGTGCTATGTCGGGCCAGACCAGTAACATGTAACATGCAATGGTCAAGTGATACTCTTAAAATATTTATCACAAATATAAGAAATTAGACCGGCGACAATTAAGTGTCTTGCATGCTTATAAATAGTAATACGTTTTGCATGGTATAAATACGTCTTGTATGGTTATAAACACACAAACTTATGGTTATAACTATATATAATACAGCCATGAGGGGTGATTCGGAATTGAAGCGTCCTTGTAGGTTAATAACCTACCAGGGCGCGCGCCGAGTTGGACTCGTCGACGTTGACCATTGTTAATGATCTGGCCCGGCGCGCGCTACTTCGTAGCACTTGCCATCGACTTCGAGAAGAAAGCGGCGCGTGCTACTTCGAAGAAATTTAGACGACGGTCCTAATATTTGAAACAAATATATTACGAGTATCACCCGTTAAAAGCGTCCAAAATCTATACTAATTTTATCATAATTTAAAGCATTTTTAATTATTATTGTATTATTATTACTCTGTATTTAGTATGTATGCACGACTGCCTACGTGCAAATTAGGTAAAAAGCAAAAGGTTGTCATCCATAGCACATAGTAACCAGTTACCTGGGGACCCCAGACTATTATGTTCATAAACATAATAAACGAATAAAGATTTGGCGGAATGACAGGCTGAGCTTGAGCGCCGCCCAGTAAAGTAACCAGTTGACCATTGTTAGGTAATGGTCTGGCCCGGAGCGCTACGTCGTATATAGCACTTGCCATCGAGCAGAAAGCGGCGCACGCTACTTCGAAGAAATTTAGACGAGTAACTAGACTCCGTCAAAGTAACCAGTAACCATGGCAACGAGGGTTGAGGGTTGTTACTAAGAACAGTGATCACAGATTTGCGGGCGACATTTTGATTTGATCGGCTTTGTGGTCATTACGTTATCAGTCATGTTCAGTGCAAGAGGGTAGTACGGAATCGGCGTCCAAAAATATAGCGATTGTTGTAGAAAGTTTTAACTATCTGGTTAAGCCCGATAGGGTCCTCCAAGTAACTTGCTTATTGCTCGTCATTATATTATATGGTTGCCAAAATCGATGGAGGGTTGGCGGCTAGATCAAAGCTCAACGGCTCTGGATTAGGGGTGGACGATAAAATAAACTTGCTCAGATTTTAAAATTTTTTTGTAACACTGTTTTCTAGAGACTGTGAGAATTTTCACAATACCAAATTTGTCATACCTTTTTGGAAAGATCAGTGAGTTTCGCCTCACTAGCTGGGTGCCATTTGCTCTATCCAAAGCCCTTGCGCTTGCAGTAGCGCGCGCCCACCCACTTCTTGACGTACTTGTGAAACAAGCGCGCCCGAAGTGGCGCGAAAGCACATGGTTAGGTGAAGGGTGCCGCGCCATATTTGATGGTGCGCGGCTTTTGGAGCAAAAGTAGATGTAAAAGTCGCGTAATTTGACCAAATTCGTTGATTTTTGTCGTATTATTTCGGACACTTTCCTCGTAAGTTTATGAGTACAGAATGAGCTCACCAATTTTTGTTGCAATCGGAGGTCGGGAAGGATACTCAATATCTATTTGTTTGAAGAAAATTGTGCTGGCCAAAATTAGCGCTAAAAAACTATCCTACTATACAGTCGGCACGCGCGGCTCACTGTTGATGGCGCACTACCTGTCTACCTATCTGGATAGAGCAACGGCAGCACGAAGGCACATGGTTAAGTTAGGTGCAAAATAATCGAACATGCAGAAACTCTTAGCTTTATTGCATTGTATATCATGTGTACGCTTATTTTTGTATAAAAACCGCGACCGGCTCTTGCTAATTCGCTCGCCCAAAAATTTCACGTGACCTTGGTTTTTATGGTTTTGCAGCCGTACTGCGTACAAAACAATTTTACATAAACCCTAATCCCAACCATAGGCATAACCCCGAAGCTATCCATAACCCGCGTACCTTAACCCAAACCCTAACATGAGCCCTAAACAATCGAAATCATGTTTTACTAGCCTGTCACGTGACTAAAACGGTTTTTGCCCATGTAACTCTCCAGGGAAATATTTTTACCCTACGTCATGGCGGGTGATTCGGGATCAGCGTCCAAAAAATACACCGATTTAGATCAATGTCATACCCAAAGGCCTTTTCACAAGAATTTTCTTAAAATTTGGGCGAGCGATTTCGTAGGAGCGATTCAAACGCGCAATCTGGCGCGGTTTATTTGTTGCAGTTTTACTATCTAATAACCAAATTTTACAAGCTATCTCAGCACGCCTGCACGCGCACGGCTTTACTGTACTAGCGTATATATACATTACTTTTTTCCTATTGGTACTCAGCGTGCACTTGTTTTTATGTCCACGATTGATTATGAACAAGTACGTGAATGCTGGTCACGCACACACTAACTTTCAATGAGCATTGCACTTTTTCAGACGTCGTGATTCGCTCAGCCCGACAAGAGATTCCTTGGAATGACATAAACAGGCCTGTCATACTCGTTGACAGACTGAGCGTGGCCCAGCGCAATAATTTAATTTCATATACTATATTTTTCTTTTGCAAGTTCTGAATGTGAAGTGTGTATGACTGATGACGCACAGTGGGCTACCATGCTAGCATAGGCCTAAAATCGACTTTCTTAAATTTCTTTGAAAATAAGCTTTCCTTATTGTAAAACGCTAGCCCGATTTCATGCAAAAAACCGTAATTAAAAACTTTGCAAGATGCCAAAATGGCGTCGCGTGAAAAAATAGCATTTTTCACTGTCAAGAAATTTTGCCTTTTTTAGCCAAAAATTGCCTAATATTTATTATTTTGGGCTAAAATGCTTGATCAAGGCAGTTTTTAATAATTGAAATACAGTATAGTACTTAAGAATACTCAGCCATCTAAAAAAACTGTGTGACTTTAACATTTTCACCTGATTTTTGACCGCGCCTTTTTTATGGCGTGTATTTTAGGCAATTTTTGGGGTATTTAACGACAGAAATCGTTGTTGGTTTGCAATAGTTCGGTATAATGCATGGTATCATCAGAAAGCTTAGACAATTCCCTATCAGATGCAATAAGAATCACTTTGGGCAGTTTTGGGCAACTCTGTTTACAAAATTAAGAAACTCAAAAATTGGGTAAAATTTGCTGCATTTTTAGATAATTTATGAGCTCAATTTTGCTATTAAATTGACATATTTTAGTTATTCTCCATGTTTGTGGCATTTTTTGCACCCTAGACCAGATGCATATGGATGAAAAATCAAAATATCACAATTATTATGGTTAAAATTGATAAAAATCCAAAAAATCGTGATTTTAAACGAAATTTTTGAAAATAACAGGAACAATTTTGGTGTTTCAGAAAATTTTGGTCATATAAATAGGCACAACTTTTGTTCTGATCAATATTTTTTCATAATTCAAAAAGATTTGAGTTCCTAAGATAGCTGTCCTTCGTTTACAGTTCATAAAAGAGCTTTAAAATTGATTAAACCTCTAAAAAAACAACTTTTCCTGGGATCAGCCTCCTATTTTTGTACTACAAGATTGCTCAAAATCGGCCCAAAATTTTTTTTCTGAGACATTTTCGGCCCTGTAAATGATTGGAATCGTATTTTTGTACCCAAATTACCTTAGAAACAAAGTTAGGGGCATGTGTGATGGTCTAAAATACCCTATGCTAGAATGACCCCCACTCACAGCCCACTGTGTGACGCAACGCGCATCGACCGCCACCAGGACAACCACCACCATTAACAACATATAAATAAACGCTTGCAAGCGCTTTACAATTTCTGACAATTATTGTCGGAGAACTTTGCCGCGCCGTGCACTTAGCCTTCTTGCTTGGCTTCTAGATCGCCAGTCAAACAACTATGTTTAAATCCATGTTGATAAATGATAGATAAATCGGTAAATAAAAACCAGCAATAAAAAGTGATTGTAATCGCTTATAACTTATAACCGCTTTTCAAATCCTTAGGTGCCCATGGGTGATGGGAAAAGCGGTAAATAAGCGATCATAAGCGCCTATAAGCGCTTTTAAATCCTGACTCTGCCGGTGCACCCCAGTTTGCTCAGAAAAGCACATACGAGTGGGCACTCTCCAGTTCCGACCAGGTTGAAGGGAATTGAGAAATCGCTTATAACTATAAGCGCTTTTAAATATCGGGCACTCCCCCGTTCCGACCAGGTTAGGGGCAGCATTGAAAAAGTGCTTATAAGCGCCTTTTAATTCCGGGCACTCCCCCGTTGCGACCAGGTTAGTGGCAGCATTGAAAAAGCGCTTATAAAAGCTTTCTAATTCCTGCCAACCAGGCCATGGGCGATAGGAAAAGCGGTAGAAAAGCGATCATAAGCGCCTATAAGCGTTTTTAAATCCTGACTCTGCCGGTGCACCCCAGGTTGCACAGAAAAGAATTATAAGCGGGCACTCTGATTTCCAGTTCCGACCAGGTTAAGGGGAATTCAGAAATCGCTTATAAGCGCATATTAATTCCAGGCACTCCCCCGTTCCGACCAGGTTAGGGGTAGCATTGAAAAAGCGCTTAAAATTTTTGCCAACCAGGCCATGGGTAATGGGAAAAGCGGTAGAAAAGCGATCATAAGCGCCTATAAGCGCTTTTAAATCCTGACTCTGCCGGTGCACCCCAGGTTGCACAGAAAAGCACTTATAAGCGGGCACTCTGATTTCTAGTTCCGACCAGGTTAAGGGGAATTGAGAAATCGCTTATAAGCGCTTATTAATTCCAGGCACTCCCCCGTTCCGACCAGGTTAGGGGCAGCATTGAAAAAACGCTTATAAGCGCTTTATAATTCTTGCCAACCAGGCCATGGGTGATGGGAAAAGCGGTAGAAAAGCAATCATAAGCGCCTATAAGCGCTTTTAAATCCTGACTCTGCCGGTGCACCCCAGGTTGCTCAGAAAAGCACATGCAAGTGGGCACTCTCCAGTTCCGACCAGGTTGAAGAGAATTGAGAAATCGTTAATAAGCGCTTTTTAATTCCGGGCACACCCCCGTTCCGAACAGGTTAGGGGCAGCATTGAAAAAACGCTTATAAGCGCTTTATAATTCTTGCCAACCAGGCCATGGGTGATAGGAAAAGCGGTAGAAAAGCGATCATAAGCGCTTTTTAATCCTGACTCTGCCGGTGCACCCCAGGTTGCTCAGAAAAGCACTTATAAGCGGGCACTCTGATTTCCAGTTCCGACCAGGTTAGGGGCAGCATTTAAAAAGCGCTTATGAGCGCTTTTTTATTCCGGGCACTCCCCCGTTCCGACCAGGTAAGGGGCAGCATTGAAAAACGCTTATAAGCGCTTTATAATTCTTGCCAACCCATGCCATGGGTGATAGGAAAAGTGGTAGAAAAGCGATCATAAGCGCCTATAAGTGCTTTTAAATCCTGACTCTGCCGGTGCACCCCAGGTTGCTCAGAAAAGCACATGAAAGTTCCAACCAGGTTGAGGGGAATTGAGAAATCGCTTATAAGCGCTTTTAAATTCCGGGCACTACCCCGTTCCGACCAGGCTAGGGGTAGCATCGAAAAAGCGCTTATAAGCGCTTTTTAATTCCTGCTCACCTGGCCATGGATGATAGGAAAAGCGGTAAAAGTGGTGAAATAGCGATGAATTAGCCGTTATAAGCGATTTCTAAAAAAACGCTTATAATCGATTATAAGCGGTTATAAGATGTAATATAGCGTTTTCCTGACTCAATATTAAAAGCGCTTATAAGCGCTTAATTTGCGCTTTACAAACAGCTAAATTGCACCCCGATTATAAGCGCTTATAATCGCTTATAAATGGTTCAAAAAAGCGCCTACGAATCGCTTATCCGGCCAACCGCTTATCCACCCGTTTTTGGCGCCAATCCTACTGGAAAACCGCTTTCAAATCGCTCAGCGACGCTAGTAAGCGCTTATAAGCGCTTATAAGCGCTTTTAAATTAAAAAAAGCGCTTTTTTGAATTATGACACCAATTATAGTCGATTATAAGCGATTTTTTTTGAACCGTTTATAATCGTAAAAAAAGCGATTGTAAACGGTTTTTTTTTTAAAAAGCGCCGAAAAAGCGCTCAATAAGCGATTATCGGCGCCGATCATAAAATATCGTTTATGGAAACTTGCCGACTTAAGATTGGGCCAGGAAACCAGAAACTTGGAAATTTTCAGAAAACCAGGAAAATGTTCGGGGGCCAGGCCAATGACATATTTTATTTTTTAAATGAATTATGATAACCAGGAAATATCGCAATACTCTAAATTTTCCGGTCGCTCAAGCTCTTGGGGCTTCACTCCGCAAATGAAGCCGGGATTTTGAGCTGGGAAGCCTGCTAGTACAACCTGATGCTTTATATCAAAATAAACGCATCACTTGTGCTATGAGGTGTAAAATAAAAGTTCTTTGAATTTCTAGAACGTTACTTTTAGATTGGATGAACTAAAAATGCTAATGTATAGTTATTAATTGCTAAATTCCCAATACTCAGAAATTGCAAAGAACGTTGAAAAAAGGTGCACCATTAATTAAGCACCACTGTGAATTAACCTTATTGATTAACCTTATTAATTAACCTTATTAATTAATCTTATTAATTAACCTTATTAATTAACCTTATTAATTAACCTTATTAATTAACCTTATTAATTAACCTTATGTTTTTAGCGAGGCAGTTTACTCCGTATCTGGGTTGCCCCTGATTCTGCTAGCTGGGCTGTACATGTGTAATAAACTTGGAAGAAGATGTACTTTCCTTGTCTTGATATGTCTAGCTCTATTCTTCAGTGAGTTTTATTGTAGAACATACATTATAATAACGGATAAGCTTATTGTAAGCTTGTAGCAACAATCAACATGCACTATAAAAGCTGATATGACTGTTTCTTGTACCAATCTTTTTACGGGCCAATCTTGATACGATTAACTCTGATTAAGTAACCTTTTTTAACCACTAACCTCTAAGTTTATCAACTTTTTTCTTTAAGTGATGACCTTTAATACCCATGCTATAAATAACTCCTCCACTGAAAGTTTACCCGTTCTCTCCCAGGTATACTGACCATAATACCAGTACAAGTAAAACCCAACATTCCATTCTCGTCCGTAATGCCGATAGTAGCTACTTACGGTATCTTCCCGGCGGTTATCTCCGTGCTGTCCCTGTGGATAGTGGAGCTGGTACCTACCTGCCATAGGATCTGTGTTGTTAGTCTGTTGTTAGCTGTTAAATGTGGGCTAACAACTCTCACTGCCGTCCTTCTCCCACTCATTGACAGCAGGTAACCAACTGTGAACTTTTCTCGGTTATTCTGGAAAATCTGATTCTCTTTTTGTGCAGTATTGAATTAAGTTGTAGGTCGGACAGCAGTTGCTGGCAAACTCAATTATTAACAAGATAAACTAGATCCCTAGTCCCTAAATGAATATCAACTGAAGTTATCACAGGTATGGGTTTACGAGCGTAATATTGACGATAATATTCATCGTTATCAGCGTGTCCCTAGTACCTCTTGTTTCAGAAACTAAGGGACTGGAAATGTTGGAGGTAAAAGTTTGCAAGATTTCTTGAATTTCATATTCCAGAACCTGCCCCATGTGAATGGTAACATTATTAATAGACCCGTGGAATCCTATCGTTATTTGAAGGAGAACTTTAGCCCCAAATATTCCATTCTAAATTATATTTCTCTTAGATTCCTGAATCAGAGAAGAAGTCTACGCGAGGGATGACCTTAATCAAGAAGAAACTAAGCACAATACATTCTCAAGTCAAAACTACAGATATCGATATTGAACAAGACAATAAAACACTCGATGGTGCCAATGAGTGGACACCTCCGAGTCCCATACTGTTTTAAATTTAAAGATAATTGTTCTTATTTGTTAATTTATGCTTCTTGTAACACATATGTCGATATTCAGATTTGAGTTAGGCAAAATCTTGCAGTTTATTTCCTCAATGACGTGCTACTATGTAGTAAATTATGTAAAAATACAAGCTAAATAATTGTTTAATTTGATTTATTTATAAGTTATTATTTAAGTATACATATTTGAGGGTATCTGGCCCGTATTATTTGTATTGTAACGCATTTATTTTATCTCACGCCCAAATTTCTATTTTTCTTCGTTCATTTATTCAAAAAGCTTACAAGATCACTTGCGACTGCGAGGGCTTCAGACCGGCGTAGTTTTTATCGCAAACGTATTTTTATCAAAGCTGAAAATTAAAAGCTAGAAACGTTCTTTGAACCAGAACTTCACCATTTTTACGTAATTTTAGGTCAGTGACCAGTTAGTAACTTCACCAGTAACTGAGGACCTCAGGCTTTTGTGTTCATAAACACCGATTCAAGATATGGCAGAATACTGAGAAACAAGTGGAAATGTAGGTCAGAAGATAAAGTGGAAATGTAGATCAGAAGATAAACAATAAACATCCACAAAAGAAAAGCGGCTGCATTTCTTGTGACAATATAGATCTAGATAAAGGAGAGAAATTAGAAAATACCTTATACTATCAGATTTTGAGTACATTATAGTTGACAATTGATATTTATAGCTGACAATTGATATTTGACAATGACCTTATCCACAAAATAATTGTAAATGTACGCATCGCAAATATTTACAATTTAACTTACAGTGGTAGTCGCTAGAAGTAGAAAGCAAGCACGTTTGAATTATAACATTCCAACCGGATCACCATGCCAATCTCAGTTCGCATCGACTTTGACTTTAGAGAGACAAGCCTAAAGTTATCAAAAACAAACGAATAACCTTATTTAAAGCGAATCTTTATTGTTAGGGTAGATAGAAAAAATAAAACCAAAGCCGAAAAATACCTATTGTTGTTAGTTGTACTTGTAGTGCTATTATATGTATTAAGTTTAAATGGTACCCTGGGAACCATAACGAAAATCTCAATACTAGAACCAGCCTACAGGATGATGGACACGTAGCATAACAATATTAACAACAGGGTGCATTTTTTAAACTACTGCAGCAACAATTAATAAACAATCATTATCAGTGGGAATGTGAGGACAATAACTTTGTTATTGAATGTGATGGGAGTGTGAACCTTTTATTAGCCTATAGGATCACAGCATTCTGCAAGGATGCATATTTTGCAAAATCATGCTTATTAGATTACCTTAAGAATTCAAAGCTAATCAGGTTAACATAGGGACGCAAAAGTCACCAGTTACATATGCAATATGTTTAGTGTACAAAAATTAGATCAGTGTGACTGAGACGATGTTAGCCCTGCACTAGCGAATGAGGAGGGTATTCAACAAAATATTCATCTTCATCTTAAATTGCCGGTGAAAATTATTTCGTATGCCCTATAACCTTAAGACTAAGTTGGACATAAGTATAACTCACTAGCTAAATTAGCTCTGATACGTCTGATTAGAACCTGTAACTGTAAGACTGGCCTCCAGAGTCCAGGTCGCCATTTTTGAGATTCAAACAAATCGAGGATGTTCAAAGGGTGTAGGATGTTCAGCTCGACAAAATACCGGTGGAGATTATTTCGTAGGCCCTAAAATGACTCTTGCAGATCCAGTCTTAACCTTAAATTGGACATAACTCACTAGCTAAAGTAGCTCTGATACGTCGGATTAGAACCTGCTCACTATCAAGACCACACTATCAAAACAACGGCGATATAATTATTGGTGCTACTTGACCAGGTGCAAAAAAGAGGATGATATGAATATGATTGTCTGCCAGGTGTTGTTAAGAAAGAGGATGCTTGAACAGAATTATATGAACTTTGGACTGCCAGACTTTGGGTAAGGAGTGATATGACCACCATATACGTCATCAAGTAATTAACATGCAAGCTTGAATTATATTCACATCAATCATATTCATTATAAATATAAACCACTAATTGGTGACGTGATCTGACCCCTCTTGGGGGCCGGATCAGTTACTTTCCTTACCCAAACTCTCCCAGTGGAACTTTGATTTACCCGCTAGTCACAGCGTACTCTTTCAGCCTCCTGTTTATTTGCATTTCGACGCGGACAGTAATAGTATTGGGATTTGTGGGACCGTCTTGCTACACGTTGTATACCTTTTATCTTTTCTTAGAAAAGATTAAGAGGTATACAGCGTGTGTCAAGGACCGTCGCGGCGAAAACCTAAAATGTGATTAAGTCACTGGACACTTATAATAGACACATTTTATATTGTCACATTTTAGTAAGTGGGTCCTGCATAAAATAATTTCGATGTTGTTGGTTATTCGAGCTACATACAATACATAAACTTAAAGTTTTGGAGGACTTCGCCGCTTCAACGCGCCGCGCAAACTAACATTCTTGCTTGCTGACAAGATCGTTGCTCTGCTTCGCAGAGCAACGATCTGGAAGGGTTGACATCGTCAATCAAATAAAGTTAGTCATATAACGATGCGACAGTGTTCGTGAGTAATAAATCATCATTCTGTTATCTGAGGCAAAGTTGTTACTAACTGCCACACAATCGTAGATTCTGTGGAGATTAGATAAGCTGCTGACTGCAGTGCCACTTATTATTATTAATCATAGATGGGAGCGAAAGCAACACAACACAGGAAAAAGATGTCAGGTGAGCAGGATTAATAGTAGTTTTATCATATGATGGATGATGATTTAGCACGCTCGTCTTAGAATGATGGTTAATGATCACTCTTAATCTTTTGATATCTTATATCAAATTTGACCAAAACCCATAATCATGGGTAGAGTGCCACTCGTGATATCATGGATCGCTTAGGTTCCACCAGGATCTGGTAGTCCTCATAATTCTGCGGCCTCTATGTGTCGTCATCTCGCACAACTCCGAAAAACCGTTGTGAGTTTGGCATGTGAAAATTTGCAGCCTTCCAGACATCGATTGGGTTAACGAGTTGTCGTACGTCACCTCAAGATCGGGTAACAGGGGGCTGAACAGGCCAGAACCCAATTGATTGGGTCTGAGGTCACGTGATTATGAGCCTGAGGTCACGTGACTATGACGTCACCAGAGCTCGTTCTCCGTTTCCCGCTCTTTGGACCAGGTGAGCTTGCATGCTTGTGAAAGTGGGTGTAAGTACAGCTGTACTGTAGTTACATTCAATTACCCCTAATAGAACGAAGATTTATTTTCTGACAGAAAGCTAGAAATTTACCAAAATATCGACTTTGTTCAAAATTTATTTTGATGACCACTCCTGACCTAAAATTGCACGAGAAATCGATTAAACTTGGTTTCAGAACTCAACAATGCTTCCTTATGCCTTAAAATCCATTTTTATCGATACAATAAACATTTTGATCCTGTGGATTAATTAGTAACAGGTAACAAATGCACACAAAAAACCATCGCACTTACATTGCATTCTTAACGGGTCGATTTCGAGTGACCAATAATCGTCGTGATGATATTTATACGTCATGCGTTCCTGATCATCATCAGCAATCAAGAGACAGGAGCGGTGATTGCTTTAAATCAACGGTTTACGTTATTTTTGTGAATTAGACCCCTGTTTTAACGGTTATCACACTTTGTAATTGAATGTATTGAGGATAGCTTTACAAATAAGAGGACCACTGAATAAAATTGCCACAAGTGTTTTTCTCACTCACTTTCGATAAGACACAATGGAAATTCTTACTTCCATAAGATTCGGAATTTTTTAAAACGCTGAAGAAAATCGGAATTTTATAAAATCTAATCACACTTATCAACCTTTGAACGGTAAATAAAATCGAAAAATTGTGAATGATACCGCTGCAATTGTCTTATCACTTATATGTATAAAAACCTTGCGTTAGGTGGCAGTTAAATGAGGAATGAGTTGTTAGAATGACGCGACGGTTATTTCCAATGATATCTTTGTATTGTATTGCAATTTGTGCAATTTCAGTTGGGCAGCTTTTTAAAGTGTCTGTTTTTTCAATTTTCGTAAACCTACTACCTAGGAATTTTTTGAATTTTAAAATCCGGCCATCCGATCCCCGATTGTTACTAGCACTTTGCAAATCCAGCAGATCTATTTTAGTAAAATATGTTGTTAACGATTTCTAATAAAATTCACGTTGCGCTGGTGAGGCTAAATTTTATGATCCACGTGAATTTTTTATTCAATATCCGTAGACTAAGTCAGAAGTTTAAGAAGGGAGCAAGTTTGAACATAGAGCACGTATCAGCGTATTACGGACGGACTTTGTTTGTTTGTGCTGTAACATTTTTCCTATGTAACATTAAAATTTGTCAACTGATCCTCAAACTATAACAGATTTTATTCATTTATCTTTTACCTTTAGAAAACTGAAGAAGCTTCACGTGACCATGAGGAAGGTCCACGATTGTAAAGTCGTGACAACACCGAACACACCGTACGCCAACTTCCAGGCTGAATTAGACAAAAGATTCACGGTCCTTGGAAAGTTTTCTGACTCGTTACCTAACCCGAGGTTTGTAATACTCACTCCCTTCTATAATAAAGTAATTTCCGGAGGGAGGGTGTGGCCGATTGTCTGAAAATCCTTGACTGGGAGGAGAAGGTGCCACCCTCCCGACGTGTGAGGGTTTTTTACAAGCCAGATTTGAACATGACCGCAAGGAAGTTCACCGAGCTCCCCATCTATAAGGAGGATTCTTGTGGATAGTGGTTTAAAACGGGAGTTGGTAATAATAATTATTTTCAAAGATACCTTTTTTGCATAATTTATATCATATGTTAACAAGCTTAATCAATCATTTATTCGACATATTATACTCGTACTAATGTGTTCGAGTTAAGTTATAGTTGCTTCAGTCTCAGTACATGATTTAAATACAAAATAACACAATTATCCTCAACAAAGAAGGAGTATGCTCGGGTAACCCTACCCCCCCTTGCTACGTGGTCTGACGAGAGCCGCTATCATCTCCTATATAAGAATGCCTCTCAAAACGGCATTTGTCAACAACAATCAAGACGTTGAGAAGCAAGTGGCTCTTATGTCAACCTGTGGTAAGAAAGTGGTAGGGGAGGATAGGAAGTCTGGGCAACAAATTGCTGTCGCAGAGCACAGACAGGAAACGAAAAAGCAGAAGAACTAACTGCTGATGGAATTTCATACGATTCGTTGATTTTTTGTAAAAATTGAACTTACATTTTATAAAATTCCGATATTCTTCAACGGTTGAAAAATTCCGAGTCTTATGGTTAAGTAAGAATTTCCATTGTGTCTTATCGAAAGTGAGTGAGAGAAACACTTGTGGCAATTTTATTTACTGGTCCTCTTATTTGTAAAGCTATCCTCAATACATTCAATCACAAATTGTGATAACCGTTAAAACAGGTAGTAAGGGGAAAAGTGGTCGATTTAAGGGTTCCGTTGGATTTGAATGTTCACAAGGATTTCTCAACGGAATATGGTAGTTAGGACCCCTACGAACATAATTAGACTTGTTGCCAATTTTGTATCTCAACAGAAACACCACTTTTACCACTTTTTACCACCTTTGTACCACTTTTCTGGTTTGCCAAATATCTTTAGTTGTGAACGTCGTAGAAGGCTGAAAATTAACCTAGAATGTTTATCTTATCAAGGAGTAAAACTTTTGTATCAAAAATTTTTACATTGGACAATCAGTTAATTGGATAATTACCAATTAGTTAATCACCAAAAAAAGTGAAAATTTTTTATTGGCTCAAAATGATTGAAATCGTTTAAAAACACGGAGAAATGTAGTTTTTAGAAAAACTTCAAAAAATTTTCACTTAAAATTTTTTTTCGAGACTTCAAAAAAAAGTTTGAAAATTTGAAAATATTTTTTTCCGCCAAAAGTGATCGAATTGCATGAAACGTGGATAAAAATGCTTTGCAGAAAAAATTCGAAGATTTTTAGATTGAGGAATACTAAAATCATCAATATTTGAAGTTGGAGTTCAGTAAATCTCGACATATTTTAGTAATTAGGAATAGCTTAGCGGAAAGGGCTGGACCTGAAAAAGGTTAACCACACAATATTAGAGTTTCGTAACTAATTACAATACAGCTTTATCAAATTCCACATAAAGAAACAGCACAAAAGGACCATTTAAGATCGAACCGATTTTACCTGCTGTACTATCATTTTATTGATTTCAATGATCAAAACCTCTGTCAATCTTGCCAATCTATACCGGGTATCTGAATGTACCAGACCTCTTATTTACCTCTATAATTAGACCCAGTTGTGCAAGAAATGCGATTTCTCACAGGGGGTTTCTTAAAGTTAAAACTGTGCACTTTTTATCACTCTCGCAACTCGCAAGAGGCCTGGTATTATAGGGGGGGGGGGGGGGGGGGGGGGGGGGGGGGGGGGGGGGGGGGGGGGGGGGGGGGGGGGGGGGGGGGGGGGGGGGGGGGGGGGGGGGGGGGGGGGGGGGGGGGGGGGGGGGGGGGGGGGGGGGGGGGTATAGGAAGCGAGTGTAAATATACCTTCCATCATCCATTGTGGCTTTTTTGTATTGTGAATGCGCATGCCGCTTCGTTTGCTATGCCATATACCTCGAATAACCCCCATATGTCATTGCCAGGGTCGGGATAGAGCTGGAGATAGCATTGAAAAGTTGCTAGAAATAGCTAGATTTAGAGTAAACTGGTGGTAGCTGGGTGGTGCTAGCATGGATGTAGCAGAACGTAGCTACACGGGGTTTCATTGGAGTTGGTTATTTTAATGGCCAAAGAGTGCCGGAACTAAAGTTACTTAAGATTGCAGTTTAGGGGCAGTGTAAACCACGGTGTAGTCAGGGACACAGAGCTACAGTGCAGGAGTACTGCAATAGAACAGTGCAAGTGATACAGTCTGCAACAGTAAAACGCCGACGAAGCTAGACTTAGAGTGAACTGATGGAAGCTGGGTGGTGCTAAAATGGAGGTAGCAGAACGTACTACATGATGAAAACAGGAAAACTAAGGCTGGTTGAGACCTAAAAAGATGTGAATCTGTCCTGATAGATCCAGTGAAGAGCGAGTAGCGAAGAGTTTGATCACTTACCTAAAGCTCTAAACAAGAAGAGGGCTAAAGAGACTCACTTTGATCAATAAATCCGGTACGGCAAGGTCTATAGCCTTGATAAGAAGATACCATGAAGTAATTCATGCAGAAAAGTCGATTTATATAAAGGGTTTCGTTGGATCTAAAAAGGGTGGGTCAGTCTCTCTGTTTTCATAAGATTCTGATGAAATGCTGTTAAGCTCAGGACGGTGATCTTAATAGGTCGGATAGCTGTATCTGGTTGCTTCCAGCCCACCCTTGTCGCTTGAAAATAAGTTCTCACCCCACCTCTTCCAAAAATACAGTTACCAGAGCAGGAAACTCTTCTTCCTCCTCTTCTTTCAACACAAACACAATCAGGTTCCAGCTACTCTCCTCCTCTGCAGCCACAATCTTATCTCCTTCTTCGGAGTTTTACTGTTGCAGACTGTATCACTTGCACTGTTATTTTACAGTACTCCTGCACTGTAGCTCTGTGTCCCTGACTACACCGTGGTTTACACTGCCCCTAAACTGCAATCTTAAGTAACTTTAGTTCCGGCACTCTTTGGCCATTAAAATAACCAACTCCAATGAAACCCCGTGTAGCTACGTTCTGCTACATCCATGCTAGCACCACCCAGCTACCACCAGTTTACTCTAAATCTAGCTATTTCTAGCAACTTTTCAATGCTATCTCCAGCTCTATCCCGACCCTGGCAATGACATATGGGGTTATTCCCCCCCCCCCCCCCCCCCCCCCCCCTTATAATACCAGGCCTCTTGCGAGTTGCGAGAGTGACAAAAAGTGCACAGTTTAAAGAAACCCCTGTGAGAAATCGCATTTCTTGCACAACTGGGTCTAATTATAGAGGTAAATAAGAGGTCCGGTACATTCAGATACCCGGTATAGATTGGCAAGATTGACAGAGGTTTTGATCATTGAAATCAATAAAATGATAGTACAGCAGGTAAAATCGGTTCGATCTTAAATGGTCCTTTTGTGATGTTTCTTTATGTGGAATTTGATAAAGCTGTATTGTAATTAGTTATGAAACTCTAATATTGTGTGGTTAACCTTTTTCAGGTCCAGCCCTTTCCGCTAAGCTATTCCTAATTACTAAAATATGTCGAGATTTACTGAACTCCAACTTCAAATATTGATGATTTTAGTATTCCTCAATCTAAAAATCTTCGAATTTTTTCTGCAAAGCATTTTTATCCACGTTTCATGCAATTCGATCACTTTTGGCGGAAAAAAATATTTTCAAATTTTCAAACTTTTTTTTGAAGTCTCGAAAAAAAATTTTAAGTGAAAAATTTTTGAAGTTTTTCTAAAAACTACATTTCTCCGTGTTTCAAACGATTTCAATCATTTTGAGCCAATAAAAAATTTTCACTTTTTTTGGTGATTAACTAATTGGTAATTATCCAATTAGCTGATTGTCCAATGTAAAAATTTTTGTTACAAAAGTTTTACTCCTTGATAAGATAAACATTCTAGGTTAATTTTCAGCCTTCTATGATGTTCACAACTAAAGATATTTGGCAAACCAGAAAGGTGGTACAAAGGTGGTAAAAAGTGGTAAAAGTGGTGTTTCCGTTGAGATACAAAATTGGCAACAAGTCTAATTATGTTCGTAGGGGTCCTAACTACCATATTCCTTTGAAAAATCCTTGTGAACATTCGAATCCAACGGAATGCCACTTTTCCCCTTATAAGGGGTCTAATTCACAAAAATAACGTAAACCGTTGATTTAAAGCAATTGCCGCGCCTGTCTCTTGATTGCTGATGATGATCAGGAACGCATGACGTATAAATATCATCACGACGATTATTGGTCACTCGAAATCGACCCGTTAAGAATGCAATGTAAGTGCGATGGTTTTTGTCTGTGCATTTGTTACCTGTTACTAATTAATCCACAGGATCAAAATGTTTATTGTATCGATAAAAATGAATTTTAAGGCATAAGGAAGCATTGTTGAGTTCTGAAACCAAGTTCAATCGATTTCTCGTGCAATTTTAGGTCAGGAGTGGTCATCAAAATAAATTTTGAACAAAGTCGATATTTTGGTAAATTTCTAGCTTTCTGTCAGAAAATAAATCTTCGTTCTATTAGGGGTAATTGGATGTAACAACAGTTCAGCTGTACTTACACCCACTTTCACAAGCATGCAAGCTCACCTGGTCCAAAGAGCGGGAAACGGAGAACGAGCTCTGGTGACGTCATAGTCACGTGACTGATCCTCAAACTATAACAGATTTTATTCATTTATCTTTTACCTTTAGAAAACTGAAGAAGCTTCACGTGACCATGAGGAAGGTCCACGATTGTAAAGTCGTGACAACACCGAACACACCGTACGCCAACTTCCAGGCTGAATTAGACAAAAGATTCACGGTCCTTGGAAAGTTTTCTGACTCGTTACCTAACCCGAGGTTTGTAATACTCACTCCCTTCTATAATAAAGTAATTTCCGGAGGGAGGGTGTGGCCGATTGTCTGAAAATCCTTGACTGGGAGGAGAAGGTGCCACCCTCCCGACGTGTGAGGGTTTTTTACAAGCCAGATTTGAACATGACCGCAAGGAAGTTCACCGAGCTCCCCATCTATAAGGAGGATTCTTGTGGATAGTGGTTTAAAACGGGAGTTGGTAATAATAATTATTTTCAAAGATACCTTTTTTGCATAATTTATATCATATGTTAACAAGCTTAATCAATCATTTATTCGACATATTATACTCGTACTAATGTGTTCGAGTTAAGTTATAGTTGCTTCAGTCTCAGTACATGATTTAAATACAAAATAACAAAATTATCCTCAACAAAGAAGGAGTATGCTCGGGTAACCCTACCCCCCCTTGCTACGTGGTCTGACGAGAGCCGCTATCATCTCCTATATAAGAATGCCTCTCAAAACGGCATTTGTCAACAACAATCAAGACGTTGAGAAGCAAGTGGCTCTTATGTCAACCTGTGGTAAGAAAGTGGTAGGGGAGGATAGGAAGTCTGGGCAACAAATTGCTGTCGCAGAGCACAGACAGGAAACGAAAAAGCAGAAGAACTAACTGCTGATGGAATTTCATACGATTCGTTGATTTTTTGTAAAAATTGAACTTACATTTTATAAAATTCCGATATTCTTCAACGGTTGAAAAATTCCGAGTCTTATGGTTAAGTAAGAATTTCCATTGTGTCTTATCGAAAGTGAGTGAGAGAAACACTTGTGGCAATTTTATTTACTGGTCCTCTTATTTGTAAAGCTATCCTCAATACATTCAATCACAAATTGTGATAACCGTTAAAACAGGGGTCTAATTCACAAAAATAACGTAAACCGTTGATTTAAAGCAATCGCCGCGCCTGTCTCTTGATTGCTGATGATGATCAGGAACGCATGACGTATAAATATCATCACGACGATTATTGGTCACTCGAAATCGACCCGTTAAGAATGCAATGTAAGTGCGATGGTTTTTGTCTGTGTATTTGTTACCTGTTACTAATTAATCCACAGGATCAAAATGTTTATTGTATCGATAAAAATGAATTTTAAGGCATAAGGAAGCATTGTTGAGTTCTGAAACCAAGTTCAATCGATTTCTCGTGCAATTTTAGGTCAGGAGTGGTCATCAAAATAAATTTTGAACGAAGTCGATATTTTGGTAAATTTCTAGCTTTCTGTCAGAAAATAAATCTTCGTTCTATTAGGGGTAATTGGATGTAACTACAGTACAGCTGTACTTACACCCACTTTCACAAGCATGCAAGCTCACCTGGTCCAAAGAGCGGGAAACGGAGAACGAGCTCTGGTGACGTCATAGTCACGTGACCTCAGGCTCATAATCACGTGACCTCAGACCCAACCAATTGGGTTCTGGCCTGTTCAGCCCCCTGTTACCCGATCTTGAGGTGACGTACGACAACTCGTTAACCCAATCGATGTCTGGAAGGCTGCAAATTTTCACATGCCAAACTCACAACGGTTTTTCGGAGTTGTGCGAGATGACGACACATAGAGGCCGCAGAATTATGAGGACTACCAGATCCTGGTGGAACCTAAGCGATCCATGATATCACGACAGGCCCTGGCAGCGGTCCACTCTACTAGAGTGGACCGCTGCCAGTGTCTCTCTTTCCAAACAAAAGGAAATGATATTAATTTGACTGACCGTTTTCAAATGCAAATTGATACCGAGAATGAAATCGGTCGCTCGCTTTTCCTATTCAATAAGCTTTATTACAATTCGTAAGCCGTGAGTGAATGGAAAAAGCGAGCGACCGATTTCATTCTCGGTATCAATTTGCATTTGAAAACGGTCAGTAAAATTAATATCATTTCCTTTTGTTTGGAAAGAGAGACACTGGCAGCGGTCCACTCTACCCATGATTATGGGTTTTGGTCAAATATCATCTCTTTTTGATTGTAATGTCAGAGTTTTTTATAAAGTCGAAATATAAACTGATATCTTCTGCATTAATAAGGAGGAAGTTTCAACAATTTCGAAATTTTTCCTTTAAAAACATTTCCTTGTGTTTAGGTAAGCATATCTGTCGATCACTGATCGAATATGCAACTATATAATCATTCAAGTTGGCATTAAACTCAAATATAATATCATTTAACTGTCATGTTACTGTTAAAGCAGGAACTAAATGTAATCGAAATAAAGAGAGTGAAGTTCTCACTTTTTGCAAACTTTGAGCGGACGTTGCGTGCGCATCCAATATCAAATCACCGTAAAATTTTGAATTTTCGTATTTTTCATGTAGTTTAATAAGTGTGCAAAGTTTCAGAAATATTTCAGGAAGAACTCGCATCACAACGGGACTCCAAAGCTGATAAAAATCGTGAAAATAACAATTTTCAGTGATTCTAGCAATTTTCTATCAATTTGGGCGTGTCCCCACGTGTGAAACTTTTCGATTTTCAACTTTAAAACTAGCCTATAACACAATTTAGACCTTTAGGAAGCAAAATTGAGCTCCACCACCCAAGAGATGGCCCAACACCAGAGAATACTAATTCACAACTTTTGAGTTTTTATAAAATTATTCTTCAAAAAAGCACTAACTTCAATAGTAAATATCTTTATGAAGGAGCAAGGTAGGATAATTTTCCGGTAGATTTTTAGAATGCTTGAACAATTATCTAAGGTGAAAATTTCCTCAGATTTTGAATAAAATTAATCCTTAATGGTGTTAAATTGATTTGAAAAGTTGTTATTTTATCAAAAATCAAGATTTAAAAACGATTAATTTGATGACGTCATCAAGTGGTGATGATGACGTTAAATTATTTTTTGATATAAAGTAAACTAACGTGTAAACGATTATCTTCAAGACCTATGGTTCGAGATGACTGTATTTTTTATACTTTTGAATCTACAGATACTTGAATGTAGGCTCCAATTGACTGTCAAAGCGTCTATCACAATGCTGGCAAGCATTACCGTCGCCCTTATATTCACAATACTATTTACCCCCTTTACTATTATACCTTAGTTCCCAAAAATTTGTGTGCCATTATATTGAGCACAATTTATTTGAGCCCGAAAAATTTGGGCAGAAAATTTGAACTCATTTGGGCGACCAAAAATTTGGGCACAAATTCTTCGAAAAATGAACGATTTTCCACTAAAATTTCAGTTAGATATTTGCCAATTTTAAGCATGTAGGTCAAGGTGGTAGTCTGAGTTGTTTCACATTATGAAATTTACGATCTGCCCAGTAACTACTAAAAAATACAGTGACGATGGCACAGTACAAAATGATAGATATATACAATAGTGATATTTAGTCTCTCAATCAGATAGTTTAGTCTACTTACACTCAGCATATCTTATCATACCCCTTTCACATACAATTATCATTATGACGCCTCACCAGATGGTCGAAAGGTTTGGAAGAAAATTAGAAGGTTTACATCATGATCTATCAAACTAAGCGGCACATACGCTTAGCTTTGGGGAAACAAAGGTGTACATAATTGTGTGTTGCGCATGGGCTACATCACTGGGGGGGGGGAGGCTACAGCAGCTGCCCCCCCCCCCCTGGGATTTGGGGGACAAGTTTACAAAAACATGAAAATTATGTATTCTTCAACATAACATTAAACCAGACGGCTATGGTATACAGTTTTGTTGCACTGTAGCCCCCCCCCCCCCCCCCTACACTGTGTTATCTTTAAATACCATGCCAGTTACCACGAACAATGGATGAATTCCGTGTATGTACTGTCAAGCTTAAATTCGGACTACTTACATTAATTTGCTTTTTCTTTTAGTTGCTGCTAACGTAAATTCGTTTCCCTCAAGTACTGGAAAATGCGTCAAAATTGTCTAATTTCCTTAAAAATTTTCCGGTGGGCTCCACCCCTTGACCACACTGGGGGCTGCGCCCCCAGACCCCTGCTACTTGGTCAAGCCATGAATGATAGATTAGAAAACTAAAATTTCAAATATTTTTTCACTTGGATATGAAGAAAAAGCCATCTTTCTATAGATTTCAGGGCCACAGGCCAAATGCCAAAAGTTTGGTTAGCAAAAAATTTAGCAGGCGGAAAAGATTTATGCAATTAATTTGGTCTGCAAAAAATTTGGGCGAGAGGCCCGCTCAAATTTTTGGTCGCCCAAATTTTTGGGAATTAAGGTATCCCCTTTATTGTTTTCCAGGCATTAAGGGGCGGGGGGGGGGGGGGTTCACCCTCATTTTTTTGTGAAACTTGGTTTCGAGATAGCAGTTGACCAACAAACTAAGACCAGTGACCGAACTTTTGAGGCGGTCCCGGACCCCGACCGCCAAACGGTGCCCGCGAGGCAGCCACGCCCATATTTGGTCCAAATTAGGCCCAATTTAGCCAAATACCCTGAACATGCCCAAAATCCAGATTTCAGGTGCTTTACTTGTAGCTAGTGATTCCCTGAACTCGTATATGAATTTTCATCAAGATTGGACAAAAAATGACTGAGTTATGAGCAAAAAACCATATGACCATATTTGGGCATACGCACCAAATTTGATCGATTTTGGCCCATAAATTAGTCAAATATCAATATTTTTGAATGAAACCAACTTTATATGGAAGGTAAGCCTATACTACACATTATCTATGATTATCAGCTCAGTATCTACCTAATTGTGGATTCTATGTTCAAATAATCGCAAAAAATGAACAAAATTGCCCATATCTCATTTCGCGATATTTGCAAAATTGACTTCGCTCAAAACAATAGAACTCAATAGGGTTTCAATATTTTTTCATGAAATTTTCAGAATCAACGTAGAATTGTCTCATGACCTTAAGTTTTGGGACAGAATTTTGAGTTAGGCTTTTTTTTTAATTTGGCGGCCAAATTCCAAAATTTGCACTGCTAAATTTAGAATTTGGCCGCCAAATTTTTTTAAAGGCCTAACTCAAAATTCTGTCCCAAAACT